TGATTAAAGATCAGTCAGTATGGATTGTATCAAGCGTGTCTAGTTTAAATACATGTAGCAGCAAGCTATATGTAACAGTCTTGTCAGCTGATTCTTTCATCCTGTTTTAACATGTTGGCTACCGGCACTGCAACACACCAAATATATACAGTAAGATTACAGACTCTTTAGATGGTTGCTGTCCAGAGAAAAACTTTAAGATCAAGATAAATTACATTTAAAAGTCTGAACTACATTTGTTTCACAAGTTGAAGATTGATTTTATTGATTCATCTCAAGAGTTAGAATTCCAGTAAATCAAGGCAAGTCCTAATTATTTTATGTAATATACTCAGACTTCATAATTATAAAATGCTGATTTTGAGTTCCAATCCCAACCCCTATAGTAGACATTTAAAATAATGGCTTGGCTTTTACACATGATGATACCCACTACTTCTTACTCGTTTACTGTTGGTGGTGCAGACCAGAAGGCTGCCCTGGTAAGGTACAGTGTCTGGTCATTCGGATGGGATGAAAAATCAAGATCCCTAGTACATGCTGGCGTGCACTCAAAAGAACACTTGACAGTTGAGAATTCAATGTAGATTAGGCAGAAATGCCACTGCCTACACTGAAAGCACGCTGCATGGTGTATGCCTGTCTTTATAAGCCTGGTTGATACCCAACACTTGATATATGTTTACATGTTGGTAGGGTTGGTTTGGTATGCATATATTGATTCAAATAACTATACAAGTTGTATTCCACATCTAATTAGTATAAATCTAAGGACATCATGCAACTGTTTTTTCACAATTTATAACAAGTGTTACTGTACTTGTTCTATTCAATTTATAGGATCTATATACATTGTTATTTGCTGTACAGGCTATATTCTCTTCCAAAGCATAGCATATGTAGCCAAAGTAAATGATGTTAGTCTCAAAATGATCGAGGTTGTTTTTTTATTGATGGGACTTTAAACTCCATTTCTTGCAGCAGTGCACTCAATCTGTCGAAAACGGCAGTCTGCTGATAGTTGATTAGATGTGATATCTTCACTGGTTCTATTTAATTAGCCTATATAGTTATTCTGGAAGCATTCATGGTTATTGCATGTAAAATTTGAGACTTCTCTGTGAATAGATAGGAGTCATTAACATTATAGCCTTTTGTGGTTTTCAAAGAGCCCTGCAGGTAGCAGACCATGGACCCTATTACAGTTGTCCATGAACAGAGGCTTGTGCTAATAAGTCGATCAGTGTTAGCATTTTTGATAATAAGATGGGTCTAGGCTTATTATGAATAAGGTATTATTAATTATATAAAAAAAAAACATTTATTTTCTTGTTGAAAGTGATAATATCTTTCTACATACAAATACATATTTATACCTCTTCAGTATTTTATCAATGACTACAGGTAGCTAATATAAGCCTACAAGTAATATTCCGAATTCAGTTAAAGGATAATGTTAGTATCCACCAATTTTACATTTGACAGAACTGGTTAAACACATTTCAAATATAATTTTAAAATAGAGATATATCTTTGCTATGTTGATCTGTAACAAAGATTTGAAGACTCACAAATTGACACAAATGAGGGAAAGCTGTTTTTGTTTCTCACTGAAGTAGAGAGCAATAACAGGTAAGATTTCAATTTGCTGATAATTCCTGTGAAGACTAAGCATTGTTATATAAGATAATGACAAGATTCCAGTTCGAAACCAACTATTTATTAAACGTATTGACAAGATCAGAGAAAAACAAGAAAAATAGAAAAAAAAACAGTGCATTATGTTGATTAATTCTCTACTTACTTTTTATACGCCCACATTTTCATGTGAACGTATTATGCCGTCCGTCCGTCCACAATTGTTTATGGACTCTCTACAGGTCACAATTCTTATTCGATTTCGACGAAACTTGAAATATAGGTGTATCCCCAAAAGATCTCGGCTGCTTTCGATATTGGCATGTATCGGATCGAAACTTCATGGATTATGGCCCTGTTTGTACGAAAAATCACGTTTTTAGCTTGTGGACCCTATAGAGGTCACAATTTTGATCCGATTTTGTTGAAACTTGAAATGTAAGTTTATAACCCAAAGATCTCAGTTCCTTTCGATATTCGCGCATATCGGACAGTAACTTCCTGAATTATGGCCCCTGATTGTACGAAAAATCACGTTTTTAGCTTGTGGACCCTATAGAAGTCATAATTTTTATCCGATTTAAAAAAACGTTCTATTATATCACCGTTACACCCTAAGTATGACTGACTTCGAATTTCGTGAAAATCGGCCCAAAATTGACAGACAAAATGGCCGCCGTTCGTTCCCAAATGGCGTAATTTGAATATGGTATATCAAGGTTGTGGACCCTATAGGGTTGTTGAAACTTGAAATGTAAGTTTATAACCCAAAGATCTCGGTTCCTTTCGATATTCGTGCTGCATATCGGACCGTAACTTCCTGAATTATGGCCCCTGATTGTACGAAAAATCACGTTTTTAGCTTGTGGACCCTATAGAAGTCATAATTTTTATCCGATTTAAAAAAACGTTCTATTATGTCACCGTTACACCCTAAGGATTACTGAGCTTGAATTTCGTGAAAATCGGCCCAAAATTGACAGACAAATTGGCTGCCGTTCATTCAGTTCCTTTCGATATTTGCGCATATCGAATTGTAATTTCCTGAATTATGGCCCTTGATTGTAGGAAAAATCACTTTCTTGTTAGCTTGTTCTCTATCCATCTCTCGAAAATGTGGGCGTATCCTGCCTGGCAGCCGCTGGTAAATGATAGTTATAGTTTAATGACCTAAAGTCATATTATTATTATTTTTTGCAAGTTTCGTCAGTCTCAGCCACATGGATTACAAATCACAGTTAGGTTATTTTGTTATATCGGACCGTAACTTCCTGAATTATGGCCCCTGATTGTACGAAAAATCACGTTTTTAGCTTGTGGACCCTATAGAAGTCATAATTTTTATCCGATTTAAAAAAACGTTCTATTATGTCACCGTTACACCCTAAGGATTACTGAGCATGAATTTCGTGAAAATCGGCCCAAAATTGACAGACAAAATGGTCGCCGTTCGTTCACAAATAGCGTAAGAATATGGTATATCAAGGTTGTGGACCCTATAGAGGTCACAATTTTTATCCGATTTTGTTGGAACTTGAAATGTAAGTTTAAAACCCAAAGATCTCGGTTCCTTTCGATATTCACGCTTATCGGACCGTAATTTCCTGAATTATGGCCCATGAATGTACGAAAAATTGCGTTTTTAGCTTGTGGACCCTTTAGAGGTCATAATTTTTATCTGATTTAAAAAAACGTATTATTATATCACCGTTACACCCTAAGGACGACTGAGTTTGAATTTCGTGAAAATCGGCCCAAAATTGACAGACAAATTGGCTGCCGTTCATTCAGTTCCTTTCGATATTTGCGCATATCGAATTGTAATTTCCTGAATTATGGCCCTTGATTGTAGGAAAAATCACTTTCTTGTTAGCTTGTTCTCTATCCATCTCTCGAAAATGTGGGCGTATCCTGCCTGGCAGCCGCTGGTAAATGATAGTTATAGTTTAATGACCTAAAGTCATATTATTATTATTTTTTGCAAGTTTCGTCAGTCTCAGCCACATGGATTACAAATCACAGTTAGGTTATTTTGTTTTATCAAATACTGCATTCTTATTCATTTCCCATCCGACATATTAAAAGTTCTTGCAAATTGTGTACAATTTTCATTGAAAAATTGGTCTCTTTGGATTTTTATGTACTTCGGGTCAGATTTGCTCAAAATCAGAATTTTGCTTGTATTCAGGCCCGTAACTAGAGGGGTGCAGGGGGGGCTTTGCCCCCCCCTTGCAAAAAGTTTCGCCCCCCCCCCCCCCCTGTGAAAAAATTTTCAACCATAAAAAAAATAGATATACATTGTCCGTCAATATTACAGCACCCCCGAAGACACTTCCCGCCCCCCTCGTTGCTCTGAGCTAGTTAAGGCCCTGCTTGTATTTGACAACTGCAAACCAGTCTTTTTGTATATCAAAAAGTTAAACAAAAACTGGTTAGATATGTGAACTCCTGACATGGGAAATGGTATGAGGTATTTGAGAAAGAGTTCACAACAACGATCACTACTTAGAAGTCAAAGCTACTAAGTACATGGTGTACATTTGAATGTGATTGTGTATTGCCATCACACCCATCTGTCTATGCTCCTTAGTTATAAAGTGGATGTCAGTTGGTCTGTCATCTTGTCTGCGATATCACCTCGGTGGAAGCGGATGTAAAATACAACTAACTAACAACAACATGGTCTGTCATTCACATTTCTTATAACCAAAATAGAGGCCACAATAATCTATATACCTTTTTGAAATCAAAAAGAAGAATCCTATTAATTTTCGATGATATTCGATAATAACTTCCAGAATTATTCCACTTTGTTATGAAGTCTTTTTTTGCTATGCTGTTGAAAGGAAAAAATATATTGATTTCATACAATGTTCATACAATATTTGATCTGAAGTATTAACACCCTGTTGATTTTTAAATTTGATGTGAAGCATTAGAATCGGAAAGGATAAACCCAGTTGATTATCAGCCATCTAGGACTTTCTGTTGCAGAGATATATTACATGTCTGGAAAAGCTTGTGAGCACGACAGAGATTAGATTTCTTTGAAGGATCCCAAATTCCTATTAAATTTGGTCAAAATCCAAGTTTTCCTGTGTGGGCATATCTCCACGCTCTATACGGCTATCTTTTCAGTTGGAAGTGATAATGCCCCTCTAAAGTGTAACGACACTATAATAGTTTTAGTCAATAGTGATCGGTAATTTTTTTATCACCAAGTGTCTGACAGCATAGATTATAGTTAAACATACTGTCACACATTAAGCTAATGGCTGCTTTATAAATATAGCTTCAATAAGTTATAAGATCCGGTATTTACACGTATTTCTATACCAATAAAGACCTCCGTACAAGCTGTGCTTTACAAATTCTCTCAATGTTTTCCTAGGATTTAAATAGTCAGTTTACAGAAGCAATTGATTTCTTATTTCATTTCAAATAAATATTGACAGAATCTTAAAAACCAGGTAGCTCCTTATTCAGGAATGGATTAAACTTATTGGATTAATATAGTAAGTCTGGGTACATACTAGTGCATGATAACGATAAGTGAACAGTTGTCGAAACGTTGTGCTAATGTATACAAACCAGCGATTGTTTTCCTTATTTATTGTGATGTGTTTTATATTGTGCTGAAGCTCAATCGCTAAATGCCACTCAGGGATTAGTTGTCTTAAGCCCAACATACAGTATTGTATTTAAAATAATATAGACTGAATTCTTGGGGTTTCTATTTTAGATGGCTGAAAATTGTAACAAAGATAAAAGGAGTGGAAATGTTTGTAATCAACATCAGACCCGTTTAGAACATATTTGTGATCTGAATATCGACAAGAGTCCATCAGATATAAAGAAAACTGGTATTATCTGCACAATAGGTAAGACAATTGAAGATACCAGTCCTAAGTAACAATGTTGCATTTTAACTGTTTACTTTCAGGTGTAATTAGGAAACATGGCTCACTCTAACTTAAGTAACAAATCCTAAGATTACTGTATGAATTTGTAAGATTGTATCATACTGACACATGGAAGATGACACATTATCACAAATCTGTAGCCAGACATTTTAAGACCCTCCTGTATGGAATGCATATTTTCAAGTCTTGCACAAGCTTAATTTTTAAGCCTGGGTAATCATGACAAATTATATTTTTTTAATTTTAGGGCCGGCATGTGATTCTATAGAAATGATAGACAAGCTTATACAGAAAGGAATGAGAATATGTCGACTTAACATGGTTCATTCGTCTGAAGAGGTGATATTTCTATTGATTAAAACTGCTAGTAATAATTATTACTTTATATTAAACCATACAAAAATCATGACTGACATCTTATTGTAATCATGTGTTACTTGTACTTAGTAAACACACTACATTCAAATTAATTCTACATAAATATAGGTTAATTGGACAAGTTTTTACACATACAAACACTAATTATGTAGGATTTAGATAAAGAGCAGGACATTATTGCAAAAATAGTTCAAAAATAGATAATGAAAAATGAATATTGAAAATTTCAGTCAAATAACTTTATTCTGACTGAAGTTATGAGTGTTTGAACTTTTGACAAGATATTCTCAATTGTCAAGTACCATTGCTACGATAATTAACAAAGTCTCAGTGGTCCATTTTAACTTTAAATTATTAAATGCCGCAGGTGTTCTAATCCATTCAATATCACAGAGTTCAGTATAGGTTTGACCTGTGAATAAATACCTAATTAATTATTTTTATAACATTTGAAGCCTAAAAAGACCTGCTATAGGCAGATTTAGCTCTTACATAATGCATCTTAATGATGACTTTAAAATAATAGAATCTGAAAAGATTCCAGCTAATAACTTCGAAGAGATTTCTTTTTATTCATGATGATTTACATTAATACAGTATGATTTTTTTTCTTAATTTAGTATTATGTAAAAGTTATAGAGAACATTAGAAATGTGGTGGCAAAATCCTATGAGCAGAATCAAGTTGCTATAGCAATAGATATCACTGGACCAGGTGCCAGAATTGGTAAATTTAAATCAGTAAGTTACAGTTACCAACCATAGTTTATTCACCTATCTTAAATGTCATATCTATAAATGCCATGATATTCTTCTTGAAAATAACCTGAATAGCCAAAGATAAACATAAATGTAATAGGAAATGAAATGGGGTTTAATGTCTTACTGTTTTGTAACAACAAGATTAATGAAGACAGGATATGTAATGGATTAAAGCCACTATTAGAGCCACTGTCCCCATCCCCCTAATTATCACTTATTTTAAACTGTTTCAATATGAAGAATGCACTGTTTTTCACTGTTTTTTTCTTAGTGAACATTTTTGCAATTTATTGAATAAGTTAAGTGTTTTTGGACTAGGTAGTATTGTTATATTCATAAAGAGTTTATATCAATATGCATTGTTATTTATGCTATGGCATTTGGTGTTTTTTGCAATAGCATTTTACAATGTAATACCAGCTACTCCAATACTGATAACGGCTGATTAATAAAAAACAAAGATGGCGCCGGACGGACAGGGGTGACAATAAAATACGCCCACATTGGAATGTGGTAGTATAAAACATTACTGCTACAAAATTACAGTATTTTGAACTGGTCAAAATTGTCTGATATGGGAAGTCAGTTATAAAAAACTTGAGATTCTGCATTGTGTTTTATGAACCAGTTTTTATATATTTAAATGTTGAGTCACCATCATCATTAATTTCAGGATATAGGTAATTGTATAACATTGAAAACAGGAAATAAAATGTTATTCACATGTGATAAAAAGTATGAAGTTAACTGTGATCGTAAACGTGTTTATGTTGATCAACCAGAATTTTTCAACATAGCAGAAGTTGGAGATCTGATATTTATAGAAGATGGACCATTATCATTGAAAGTCTTAGAAAAACGTAAGTCATCAATATTATTATATGAATATAATTATATTGACTGTCTTGTCCAGCTGGCAGTCAAAATGTCCACTACTGTACAAAGATAGCCCGATCAATCAATGTCCACACCAGGCCAATTACAACATGAAATTGTATTTTGTTTCTCGAGAATAGATCTCAAAGTCTCAAACACAGACTGTATTACTTTATTGTTTTGGCGTGTCTGTATGGCCTTTACTACAAAGTTTACCCAAGAATTTTGTACCTAATTTATCGAAAGGTCAGACCATTTCCTTTCAAGAAGAAAATCAGGGTAATAATTTAAAGGATTATGGAATATGCAACTAGAATTTTGGAAATGATCAAATGGGCAAAATCTAAAGACCTCTAGAGTGTTAACAAGGTTTTGTGAAATTGTTATCAGGTTGTTAATTCTTAAAGTTATTGATGGAAATAAATAAAACCTGATAGTCCGTCTATCTATGAATTGGAAAAAAAGATTCACTTGAATAATTGTGACCACCAAAGTGTCCGGAGTTTTATATAAGAACTAAAACTACATGGACAAATATTAGTAATTATTCTCTGTATCTCAATCACCTTAAAACCTTTTTGATTCCCTTCAATTAATTTGTACAGATGATAGTACTACATTAATTTGCCAAGTAGATAATGGTGGAGACATGGCTAATTTTCATCAATGTCATATACCTAAAAAATTACCTGGTAAACCAGTCTTAACACAGAGAGATAAAGATGCTATTGCTTTTGCTCTAGATAATGAAGTAAGTCATCAATAAATCTCTTCACTCAACATTTATAAAATAAATGTAAATATAATGATCTATGTGTAAGTTTATATAGTTGGGTGTTACGCATGTATTCATTCAATGATCTTATTCAATTAAATTGATACATATAATACATTTGTTTATAGAGAAAATAAAACTTTCACCAAAAAACTAAATTTTAGACACACCCTTATTATCAACAAATCCAAGCACTGACCTACTAAACCATTAAAATATTTGTTTGATTTATAACTTAAATTGTGTATATCTGGCTTGACTGATTTGTTTCTAAATATACAAACAACTACCATAATTTGAACATACCTGATTTAACTGTATGGTATAATCATTATACTATAATCACTTCAATTATTTTTAAAATAAAACTGACAAAGACCTCCAAAGCACCAAAACACCAAACCATATATTTTAATTAATAACAATTAAAGAGAGAAATATATTCACATCTTCGATCAAATATGAAACAGTGCAAATGTTACCCACTCTCATTTACTGTACAAAACATTTTTATACGTCCATATTTTCATGTGGATGTATATTGTCCCTGTTTGTCATTCACATTTTGTTTGTGGACTCTTTACTGGTCACAATTTTTATTTGATTTTGATGAAACTTGAAATATAGGTATATATCCCAAAGATCTTGGTTCCTTTCAATATTAGCATGTATTGGACAATAACTTCATGGATTATGGCCCCTGATTGTATGCAAGATCATGTTTTTAGCTTGTGGACACACTAGGTCATAATTTTTGTCTGATTTTGATGAAACGTAAACTATATGTTTATAACCCAAAGATCTTGATTCCTTTTGATATTGGCGTATATTGGACCATAACTTCCTTGTTGTAAAGACTGTGCATGAACAATTGTCCTAACTGGGCTTGACCGCCTACACCTGCTTAGAGCCGTACAGTGCTTCAAAGATCTTCATCTGCTTTACATGCAACCTTCCAACCTACAATTGTTTGGTTTGGCACCCTACTGGTGCATCATTACAAAATATCCCGCCCCTTTTTGCTGAAACTGTCCTACCAAGCTACTTGGTCCTAACCATATCAATACATGAGAAAGAGAATAAAAAGATGTTGTCACTGCTGTGCAAAAATAATGTCGACCATGGCAATATTATGAGACTATACAAATATTCTTATTATTATCTGTGAAAAACTGGCTTTTTTCCCTGTAGGTAGATATGATATTAGCGTCATGGGTGTGGTGCTCCAGTATTATACAATCTATAAGACTAGAATTAGGAACAAAAGCTGATGCTGTTCATGTTATAGCCAAAATACAAAATCACGAAGGAGTACTTAAGTAAGTAGAGCTTTTGCAAGTTTGGAAAAAATCTCAAGGTTAAAAGGTTACAAAAAAGTGACAAACACTCATGTACACATATTTTCCAAACAAAAATCTCCAAAATCCTGCATTTTGATTACACGGGCAATATCTCATATGAAAAATTTAGGTTAGGTTCAAAAGTTGTCTAACAGTCTCATTAAGTTTTAAAAATGTCTCTAAATAACTGACAGAAGATCAATTTCAAGATCTATCAAGATAAACATTTAGCCCATTTTCCAGTAGTGCTAATTGAGTCTATTATAAGGGTGTCACAGCAACTATGAGACATATTCTTTACCCATTCTGATTTTGTCACTTGCTATTCTAAAATAAATCTGATACTGCTCCTTTAAGAACTGCTACCTGCAGGTACATTAGTGATTATTTATATGTTTTTCTAGGTGGGATAACAAGCTAACTGACCTATAACTGCTACATATGTACTTTAGACTTTCACTTTTCTCCATTAATTATGTCTAGTATAAAGTATATCCACTAAGAATATTATCTTATCTTGATGAAGATTAACAACTTCAAAATTTGTTATCTTATTTGCACAAAATTTAAAGATACAGATCCTTAAAATGAATAAAAAAATGATCCAAGCTTTGTAAGTTGTATAATACTCCATAATGTGGATTTGATGTGGAGGTATATTGTTATCATCACCTTCTATTGTCCTTCAGTTCACATTTCCTTGTACTGTTCGCACCCTATTATTCTTATTTCTCAACAGACTCTAAACAGAAATCTAAAGATATTGTTTATATGATCAACACACTATCAAGTCCATAATTTTTCTATTGCAACACATAAAACTTTATATGAGAATCAGCTGAGATTTAATAATATTAAAATTAATTAGAGTAAAAAGCATTGCACAGATGCTTGAAAAACAAAATTACATCTTTTGATCACTTCCCAATCAAGAAATTGTATGACTTAGAATTTATTTCAGTATTTTATCTTATATGTAGTTTTGATGAGATATTGAAAGTTAGTGATGGTATATTAGTAGGAAGGGGTGATCTTGGTATAGATATACCCGGTGAAAAAGTTTTTCTAGCACAGAAGATGATGATAGGTAAAGCTAATAGTGCAGGGAAACCAGTTATATGTGCAGCACAGGTAATTACTATATATACTCAGCCAAATTAAAAACTTGACACTGATGAATTTCAACAAATTTTTTTTTCTGGTAAGTCAAATAAATTTTAAAGTGTTTCTAACGATAGTAAGTAGTAAGAAGCCTTTAATTTCATAAAATTGTAAAGTCACGTGGATCACATGACTTTTGAGCATATAAAGATGAAAAACCTGAAAAACATGTGTGTTTCAATCGATGCAAGTTTGCTTAAACTGAACACACACACGTAACTTGAACTGGAAAAACAAATTAAAATTGTTATTTTCATCTTTGTTAGAAAATGCCGCACCTTTCAAATGTAGAACGTCTACGTGCTATAGGTAGGCTCTATGCTGGTCAGTCTGTGGTCACTGTTGCAAGAGCCTTTAATTGTTCACGCCAGACAATAATTAATCTTAGAATGAGAGTGCTTCAAACGTGTGACGTTACTCCAGGAAGATCAAGCAATACGATTACGTCATCTTAGAAACAGATTTGTCACGGCAACCTCCACAAGTAGAGAGATGTTTGGTGGAAGGGTAACTGCACAAACTGTTCGAAATCGCTTGCAGGCTGCTGGTCTTTGAGATTTGCCGATGGCAGGGCCGAGTGTACCGCAGACGAGGTGAACGTTACGCTCAAGTATGCGTCAGAGAAGTTGACCGATTTGGTGGCAGCAGCGTCATGGTTTTGGGTTCTTTTTGTACACATGGACGTTCTCCTCTTGTTGTTGTCCAAGGGAACTTAAATGCTGTCCAGTACAGGGATCAGATTTTGCAACCTGTTCTTCTTCCGTTTATGCAGAGACATGGGCCTGGACTAACGTTTCAACAAGACAATGCTCGACCCCATACAGCAATTGCTACCCAGAATTTTTAAAGAAATGCCAGTGTCCAAGTCCTGGATTGGCCGTCGCTTAGCCCCGACCTTAATCCTATTGAACACATCTGTGACGAACTGGGTCGACGTGTTCGTCAGCAAGTGAATCCCCCACTGACGTTGCAGGACCTTCAACATGCTCTTGCTGAGCAGTGGCGACGTCTTCCTCGGGTAGTGTTTACTAATGTTTTGAGATCCATGAGAAGACGTTGTGTGGCAGTACGAGACGCTAGAGGAGGCCACAACTGTTACTAAATACTTTATTCCGATTGTTCTCCAAGTCTGTGAATTTCATTTTGGGGGGTACTGTGACATCACGAACGTAATCAATGGCAAGGACTTTCGGCGAGACGTATTCTTGCTTTCTGTTGATGTCAAGGTCGTCTGTGCACAACATAACACTAAAATAGTTGCCTTAAACCAAATATTAAAAATCTAGTCCCAAAAATCCCGAGTGTCAAGTTTTTAATTTGGCTGAGTATATTTTACCTATACCTATTTAATCTAATTTTAAAAAAAGTCTTTATAATATTTTGACTGTTTTAATTCAAATTATATTCCTCACAGTATAATCAGGTCATCTAAATCTTATTTTTAATAAATATAAATGTCTTACAAACTAGAATAATAAAATAATAGTCAGAAAGTGATTAATTATAACAGAGGAATCCTATCTTGTCAATGACACATTAGTCAAGTAGGGATGTGGGACTACAGTGGTAGGTTAAGCGACACATTTGTTGTCAGTCATGTTAGGTGTAATGGGTTTATTTTTAAGATTTCAAATATAAAAAGTATCGCCAAAATTCTCATAAAGGTGTTTTATTTGGGCAACAAATATATGGTAACATAGATATATCCTTTCAATTGCATAATTGAAACCTTGGAAATCAAATATATTTTCTATGGTAATAAGAATTTATCCTGCAAGTAACAAAAGTTACTTTAAAATTTGGATGTCATACAAAGAAATATACTCAGAGGAAGTAAGACATAATATTTTCACAAATTTATCACTCTTGATATCTCCCTTGGCAGTTCATATTTAACGAAGAGTATTCAAAAACACTGCTGCCTGGCCAGAATATCCCTCAAAGCAAACTGCATGGCGTATGCCTGTCTTCAGTATAGCTTGTTTGGAAATGAAAAGTAGGACATTAAACCCGATATCTTCATTTCTCTTGAGATCTTACAAGTTGACAATATTATTGATTTATATTGATTGGAACATTTATGTCATGAAGTATGATGTATTATTATTTTCTATATAAGATGTTAGATAGTATGGTAAACAATCCCAGACCAACCAGAGCTGAAGCTAGTGATGTAGCTAATGCTGTATTAGATGGTATAGACTGTATTATGTTATCTAGAGAAACGGCCATAGGAACAAATCCTGTTAAAGTTGTAGAAACATTATCAGCTGTAAGTTCTATATCGATATAAACCTCTGACGTCAGTCTTCTTTCATCTTGCGAGTCAATTCTGTTTGTGGAATAAACTTTCATCTTGAGATTCCGTATTTTACACTTGGTTTATAGGAAGCTATTCTAAACTTCATAATCATGGTTTGTCTAAGATCTAAACTTTATAATGAATTGTAAATAAACAGTAATACTGGTTATACTGGGGAAAGAAGCACACCAGTTGAGAAACCCTTGACCTTTTTCCTAAAACTAGTGGCAGCGCATGCAGCATACATTTTATTAAAAAATGAAAATAGTGCAATAGAATAGAACAAAAAAAAAGCACCTTTGATGTATAGTAAAAGAGAAATACATGAAAACAATTTACCATTTCAAATACATCTATCTACATCATTTACATTATGTGCTTTATTAGGATGCAATAGACAAGAATAACATGGTAAATTATATATGCTTTTGTTTTATACACACTTCTATGGCTATTAAATTATAACATGAGGCAGATCAAGCATAGATAGGCCTACAAGGGAAAATGGAATGTCAGGGTGAGAAAGGAAACTGAATAGGCCTACAGATAATCTAACTGTTTCATTATTCACAAAGTGTAAAGAAAATATTCCCCAGTTTCAATTTCATTTCATGATTGAAGGGGACTTGACTTGTCTCCACCTCCTTTAAACATAGAATAATGATATGAAATGAATACTATATAATGCCATTTTCTAAGAAAACTTTGTTCATAATATCATATCTTTACCAAATTGTGACAGTCAGATTGTAAAATATATTTATCAATGTTGTTTTATATTTTACAGATATGTCGAGAAGCTGAATCAGTAGCATTTACTGATTCTGTATTTAGAGAATTACAATTACAAACACCTAAACCTGTAGGTAAAACACATACTACAGCTATAGCCGCTGTTGAGGCAGCTAGTAAATCTAAAGCATCAGCTATATTAGTAGTTACAACATCTGGCAGGTAATTACAATAACTTTTATATTACATGTCACTAGTTTCTGACTAAACAAAATAATTACTCTTACCAGCTTGAAGCCATTTAAAAGTAATTATTATAATATATAACCTTACACATATTTGGATAATATAAACTTAGGCACACAAAAAAATATTCTGGTTCTCAGACAATATCCTTGGTAAAAAATCTGATGAGTGAGGGAGGTTTTTATTTTTGTGTTTTATTTTGCCAAAGGATTACTACTGGGCTAAATGACTTCTCATAAACATCAAGGCACCACATTTATCTCATCATGTTGTTGAATGTATGATGATCCAGTATCACTTACGATTATCAATAACATTTATCAAAGTTGTTTACATTTCCGAATTCATTCCTGTGACCATGGGAAAAAATTTACATTCAGTAATTAATAAAACTGTTTTTATTTTTTGAAATAAAAACAGATCCAGCAGTTCTTTTTAAGTGATGCAGGAGTATTTGAGAGCCAAAATATTTTTTTATATGGCCTTAACTTAATTTTAACATGTTGGTTGATTTGATTTACACAACACATGGGACAATAATAGGTTGATTTATTATATTACCTATTTATTTAAACATAGGTTGCCAGGCAATAGAACATACACACACAAGCTATAAGTTGTCTGAGCTGTCCAAAAAGTTTGTCACATGTTTATTCTTTTGTAGATACAGGCGGCCAACCTATGAAGTATTTATCAGAAATAATTCAAATAACTTCTAATTCTTCCTAGTGCTAAGGTTTATTACCGGTGGCTGTTCGAGTTATCAAAAATTGCTAAAAATCGATAGCTTTCTTCGTCTCATGAACATACACACTGTTTAAATTTGAAGGCAATCAGCAGATAACTTTAGCATCTACAGAGCAATAACCCTGAAAGTATTTAATGGGAATATTGAAAATCAATAGCCTTCCATGTTTGATGATAGTTAAAACTGTCCGTGTTATCAGGAATTGTAGAAAATTGATAGACTTCACAAGTAACTCTGGATGACGAAATGACTACAGGGGTGACGACAATATATAACCACATTTCAATGTGGGACTATAAAAATGGGATATATCCGCTTCAATTTATTGTTATATGCATTTGATTTGTGAACACCATAGATAATGGAGCTACCTTTTTCTTGTACATGTACTTGTGTCTAACATATCTCTGGCATTAAGGCCAAACCAATTTGATATTAGTTGACCAAGAAATAAGAGGTAAAATGTTAATAGGACTTTCATGATGAGGAAAGTTATATTTGCAAAACATGTAAGTTATATCTGATGCTTTATGATAAACTGATATTCTGAATCATAATAGACAAGTTTAATTAAACTAAACTTGCATATTTATTATTTGTGTAGGTCAGCTGCTATGATAGCTAAATACCGTCCTTCCTGTATTATTATTGCTATTACACGTGTACCTGAAACAGCAAGATATTTACATTTATTTCGAGGAGTTTATCCAATGTTATATTCAGGTAAAATTTATTATTATTCTGCTTTTGTATCATATGCAGATTTTTATACGCCCACATTTTCATGTGGATGTATATTGTCTTCGCCCCTGTCCATCCGTCAGGACATCCACAATTTGTTTGTGGACACTCTACAGGTCACAATTTTTATCTGATTTTGATGAAACTTGAAATATAGGTTTTTCTTTCAAAGCTCTCGTTTTCTTTAAATATTGGCATGTATCGGACCATAACTTCATGGATTATGGCCCCTGATTGTACGAAAAATCATGTTTTTAGCTTGTAGACACTCTAAAAGTCACAATATTCGCGCATATCAAATTGTAACTTCCTTTATTATGGCCCCTGATTGTACGAAAAATCGTGTTTTTAGCTTGTGGTCCCTCTACAGGTCAAAATTTTTATCCGATTTAAAAAAACGTATTAGTATATTACCGTTTGAATTTCGTGAAAATTGGACCAAAACTGCCGGACAAAATGGCCACCCCTTGTTCTTGTATAGTGTAAAAATATGGTATATCAAGGTTTTGATGAAACTTGGAATGCATGTTTCAATATTCGCGCATATCGGATCGTAACTTTCTGAATTATAGCACCTGATTGTACGAAAAATCGTGATTTTAGCTTGTGATCCGATTTAAAAAATTCATTGTAGTATATCACCATTACATCCTAATGATGGTTGAGTTCGAATTTTGTGAAAATCAGACCAAAACTGCCGGACAAAATGGCCTCCCCTTGTACGATTTTGATGAAATTTGGAATGCATGTTTATGTCCCAAAGATCTCGGTTCCTTTCGATATTCACGCATATCCGAACGTAACTTCCTGAATTTTTATCCGATTTAAAAATCCTGTTTAAGTATATCACTGTTACACCCTATTGATGGTTGAGTTCGAATTTCGTGAAAATCAGACAAAAACTGACGGAAATAATGGCCGCCCCTTGTATGCAAATAGTGTAAAAATATGGTATATTAAGGCTGTTGACCCTCTAGATGCCACATTTTTTTTCCAATTTGGATGAAACTTTAAATATCTAAGTTTATATCATAAAGATCTTGGTTCATTTTGATAATCACACATATTATCCGAACGTAACTTCCTGGATTCTGGACCCTGATTGGTTGAAAAATCGTATTTTTAGCTTGTGGATTCTCTAGAGGTCACAATTTTTTTTTCTGATTTTAAAAACCGTTTAGATATATCACCATTCCACCATAATGAAGGTTGAATTTGACTTTTGGGAAAATCAAAATGAAACTGCCCGACAAAATGGCCGCTCTTTGTATGCAAATTGTATATATGTATTACAAAGGTTATGGACCCTCTAGAGGTCACAATTTTTATCTGATTTTGATGAAACTTAAAACATATCTTTATGTTCCAAATATCTCAGTCCCTTTTGTTGATATTTGCACATTTCAGACCATAACTTTCTGGATTATGGCCCCTGATTGTACAAAAAATCGTTTTTGTTTTAGCTTGTTCTCAATCCATTTCTTGCAAAATGTGGGCGTATCCTGCCTGGCAGCCGCTGGTTGGTTATTAAAGTGACATTCCATATTACATTAATTGGAATCTTGTACTGAATGAAAAGATGCTTTATTCACAATATGATGTGTTCAATATCATTCTTTTATTTTGCCCCGACAGTGGCACTTAGTCCTACTCTTATTTCGAATTCTCAGGCCCTTGTCATGCACCACTCACAATGGAAAACACACTGGAAAATCCTGAGGAACTTTCTTAGACAAAACTGGAGCAAACCTGAGAACTGGCCAGCATCTTACTCACTGAGCCACAGCGGCTCCCTAAAGTCAAGGGAGCTCACTGTAACAAATGTTTAGTCATTTGATCCCAACATTAGCTTTATTATGAAGCCTGAGTGGGTTACCAAAACTTGTCATGTTTGTATTTTACAGAACCATGTTGTGCTGAATGGATAGATGATATAGATAAACGGATACATACCGCTTTACTTATGGCACAAAGTAAAGGTTTTGTTGCTGTCAATGATTCGGTTGTCTTGGTTACGGGCTGGTCAGCAGGAAGTGGTCATACAAATACATTACGATTAATAACAGTACCAATATTAACTAATAACATGGAATCAAGACCTAGTCTTGTTAAACTGGTTGATGTCAAATCTAATCCAGATATCTGAATCTTGCGTCATGCCAGAACATACCATCAAAGGCTAGGGGTACCAATCATCTTTGATCAAAATCAACCAACAGTTGCAGAATTTCTTATTTTTGTTCAAGCTACATTTCACTATGCTGATTTCATAATTTTATGGTAAAAATAATCATAGAAACTAAGATAGTAAAATTTAAAATGGCATATTCAACAATAATTCTCTGTGGGTAATATAACCAAGATTAAAGATTTCCTTTTAGTTAAGGGAATTACTGATGGAGATGGTTGGGTCCCTTGATTTTAAATCTGAACAAAGTGCAATATATAGTTGTAAATATATTTCAGACTCCAAACTTATATATCGCTCTTTCTCAGTTTTTGCACTTCATGATTGTAAAGATCAATATTTTAGAAATTATTTCATAAGGCACGTCTTGAGTTCAATCTGTTTTTAAAGTTGATACCTTGAGCTGACTTTTAATACATCAATCAAGGATGACACTGAATATTGTGCATACATCCCATGGTTATTTCATCAAATCAGCTAGAAATAATTTAATGTTTTTGTCATGGTTACAATTAAACTGAAATATTCCTATGCACCTTTTATATCAAGATCAGTTTACGTAGCTGAATTCTTTATTATACCATATCTTAATTGTTAGGTCATATAAAAAAATATCTTCTGTTTCTCAGATACTCTCATGTCACTTGAAAAGGACTGCATAACCCATTTTTATTTCAAAAAATAAAAACTGTCTCATTAATTACAGGAAGTAATTTCAAAATAATAAACATTACCAGAGTTTCAATTATCCAGTAAATAACCTGATAAATATTATTGACAATGATAAATGATACTAGATAATCATACTTTCCTATAAAAAGCATGATGAGATAAATGTAGTGCCTTGAAATGTGATGATTATAGAAGTCAATTAGCCCAGTAGTGCGGCTTTGACAAAATCCAAACACAAATTTTTTGGCAAGGGTTGTCTGAGAACCAGAATACTTTTTTCTATGGGCTTACTTTGAAAAAGTTGCTTTTGATTTTAATCAAGCGAAAACAATTTAAATATTTATTGTGTTTTCTCGGAGTCTTGAGATGAAAATAATGGTCTAATGATAAAATAGTAATAATGTTTTGTTTTTTAAAAATATACATGTACTTGAACCACATTGTTAATCTAAGTCTGTGTGCCTTTTCACCAAAAATGTCATTTGTTTTTTATATTATTATTAGTGTTGTTGTGTTTGTTTATTTATTATAATATTTATAATTTTATCAAGGACCAGAAGAACTGTTATGAATGTTTTTATACACCCACATTTTCATGTGGAGGTATATTGTCGTCGCCTCTGTCCATCCCTCCACAATTTATTAGTGAACACTTGTTTGTGAACACTCTATGGGTCACAATTTTTATCCAATTTTGACGAAACTTGAAATATTGGTTTATCTCCAAAAGATTTTGGTTCCTTTTGATATTGGCATGTATTGGACTGTAACTTCATGGATTATGGCCTCTGATTGTACGAAAAATTACGTTTTTAGCTTGTGGACCCTCTAGAGGTCACAATTTTTATCCGATTTTAAAAATTGTTTACATATATCACCCTTACACCCTAATGATGGTTGAATTCCGTGAAAATCGAACCGAGACTGCCCGACAAAATGGTCGCTCCATGTACACAAATAGCATAAAACTATGTAATACCAAGGTTGTGGACCCTTTGGAGGTCACAATATTTATCAGATTTTGATGAAACTTAAAATATATGTTTATATCCCAAAGACTCATTTCCTTTCTATATTTGCGCATATCAGAGCGTAACTTCTTGGATTATGGCCCTTGATTGTATGAAAAATCGTGTTTTGTTTTTTTTAGCTTATTCGATCAGTGTCCATCTCTTGCAAATTGTGGGCGTATCTTGCGTGGCAATCACTTATTGTTATTATTAAGAATGTTGTTTTAAGAGAGAAATCTTGCCATATTAACCATTATAAACAGACGTATATATATATGTTATCAACATAATAAATGTTCACAGACTGAAAATGATCTGAATAAAAACAATGCTTTTAATTTAAAAATATCCTTTATTTTCAGTTGAGTATGGTGATGCTTTCTCACAAATTTAAACTCTTGTGAGTATCTACACTTGATTTGTCCTGACAAGTTGAAGGTAAAGGATACAATTGAGTGACAATTTCATATCCTATTTTAATTTGCATCTCAAATTGTACCTAAAACCTTAATTTAGAGGTCGTCTATAGGAGAATAATCCATTTAGGCCATACAAAGAAATATTCTGGTTCTCAGATAATCCTTGGTAAAAATCTGATGAGTGAAGGTTTTTATTTTTGTGTTTTATTTTACCAAAGGATTATTACTGACCACTGGGCTAAATGACTTCTCATAAATGAAATGAAATGGGGTTTAACGTCCTACTGTTCTGGACTTCTCATAAACATCAGGTTTCAAGTCACTAGATTTATCTCATCATGTTGTTAAATCTATGATTATCCAGTATGATTTATGAGTGTCAATAACACTTATAAGGGTTGCATAATTGATAATTGAGTCTAGGGTACATATCGTAGGTGAAGTGTTAATGGAGTGTATCTAAGAATTTCTAAATTTTTCAGGAGACACAAATAACTATCTCATAATTTTACTATTGTGTCCACAATAGTGTGTCTAAGATACTTACCCCCCTTGATGGTTATCTTTTGTTTGTCAACTATGTTTTCATTAAATATTTTTTGTATTTGAATTAATTCGAGATACAACCTTTTGACACAGTAAAACTGATATCTATATAGGCCATTATAACACTTTTTAAATTGTGTAAAAACTTTAATTAGAGAACAATAAAACAAAACAAGTAGCTGATCTATCTGACAGAAAAGAAAAACAAACTTATTGTTATTTTGAGGTCTTCTGGTTTGATCACTATACCATATCTCCTCCGCCAAAACAGAAGCTTTCAAAATGATTTTTTATGTCATGAATAAACACAAACAAATGTAATTCCTCCAAGAAGGCACTTAAAGGGGGTTTTAATGTAAAAAAAAAAGAGAGAAATAGAGTTTAATGTCCATGGGGAATCGAATTGACCCCAGTTGACTCAACAACGGACCTTATGAGTTTTAATGTAAAAGGTTATCATAAAATATATGATATGGTCTAGGGATAACTTGTTTGAGTTCTTGTAAATGGTGCCATTTAGATTGTTTGATTTTTAAGGAATTTTGATAAAGTCTTGGTACAGGTTCACCAGAAGGAGTATGGGTAAATGCGCGCCTTGGAAGTTGTTGCCAGATGTCATTAAAGTCTAATTTGTACTGGATTTTAGAATCTTTTCTTGGTGGGTATTTGTATGCTCTTACATCTGTTACCGTGGGATCTACAGTTTTAGTTCCTGGTCTGATTGAAGTATAATTGTTTAACTTGCTGTAATGTTTGAAAAACTCATGATTTACGTTATGAACTTCATAAGGCGGTGGAATGTTTCTGGCTATGGCTATTTACTCAACATACTAGTAAGGCCAATATATAGGTTTGTTTCGAAGCTTTCGCTCAATGATAGCATGGACACTATCGGCTTCCATTTGAATATTTATGGACTATAAGAAGGTCATCCTCAACGGTCAGTTTATACAAGGCATTTGACAGGACACTGTTTCTTTTGGTAGCAACGTCCAATGCTGTATATAATTAATGTTTTATATTTTTCCCAAATGTTTGACGTAGTTACTGAGAAATGATAAAAATGTGTTTGCAGAGAGATCACCCTCTCCCTCATGCCAGATGTAACATTTTACATCATTGGTTGAGAGGTTATAAATGGTGAAGTTATGCATGGCAAGTTTAGTTTTATAATACAAAGCACTAGTTTTTAGAATAGGACACAAAAGCACGGCCTGGACATCCAGTTATGACTGCCAATGTTTCATCTTTGAGTGCTTCTTCTTTATCTTTATTTTTTTCCTCTCTAGCAATGTTTTTCTGTTCAATGTGTTTAGCAAATTCATCATCAGTTATATTACCAACATCATGGGCACAGCAAATGTCGCACTGATCTTTTTTCGGCTTCAAAAGAGCTATATTTTTGTCATCAAATATCACCTTAAAAGAAGTTCTGTTCATGATCGGCTTGCTGGTAGTTCGACAGTAGTCTTGATAAACATTGTAGAGACTCATAAAGGTTGTAAATAAAATTTTTCAGTTGATTTCCTGCAATAATGAGATGGTATTTTGGGGAGACTGTCTAGAAATTCAACAACTTGTTTATAAATATCACTGGTTTCATCCACTCGACTTCTTCATTTAAGTCTAGTTTCTCTGTGAACAACATTAGCTTGATCCACCCATTTATAAACAGCTCTCTGGCCCAAATTTCATGTTGTCAGAACCATGTTTTTACATACAGAGACTCTAGACCCATCTTTATGTAGGTAATAACTGTAACCTTTTTCTTATCTACAAGTCCATTTACAAAAACTTTTTTCTCATCCCAGCTCATCGACCACAACATATCAAAGTTATGTTTCCTATCAGCTTCTGTAAGAACAGTACATTTCTTTGTTCTAACACTACAGAAATTGGTACACTTTGCTGGTTTCATGCAATAAATAATCAATTTCATACACAGGGTAAATGTTGGAAAAACTGAAACTGCCACAGCGTGTATCTCATGAAATATTGAGGTGATGGTACATTTAAGGGTGAAATTGTACAAAATTAGTGTAAAATAATTATCACTTGTACAAAATTAGTGTAAAATAATTATCACTATTTGTCCCAAGGGGCTATCCTGAATAAATTAAACTCCAAACCTTGTCAGATTACAAGAAACAACTTTGCGATTTGAGACCCAAAAACTTTATGAAAAAGCATTTAAGAACTAAAACTTACCAGATAAATTTAATATGTAAAGCAGATCAAAATTATGTAAAAATATTCATTAACTGTGTTTCCATGTGTTCTTTGGAAAAAAAAGAGTAAGAGATAGAACCTTTTGCATTTCAAAATTTCCACAAATCAAGATCCAACATTTGGACACATGATACCCAGAACAGTTCTAATTGACGTAGAAATACACAGCTTAGACAGAAATGTGCATATTAATTGGGAGATTTTAAAAATGCAAAAAAGTGTATTTGACTAATTTCCCGAGATATACTAAAGTTACTTCCTGTAACACAGGAAAACATTTATGTGTGTTAATTAATAAGATCATTTTTATTTTTGAAATAAAAAAGGGTCATACGGCTCTTTTTAAGTGACATGGGAGTATCTGAAAACCAAAATATTTTTTTTATTTGGAATTATATGGTTATATGGATCAACATACCCCATAATCAGCTTATGGAGTGTTTGTTTCTCAGATTATTCATATGCCAGAGCATATAATAACTTGTATGTCTTATATAGTTCTATCCAGTTACAAAACCCTCTGAAGGCTTACAAGTACCAGTACAAACCAGTGAAGATGCATCATTGTTACTTAACTGATTCTAACACTACGTGAATCAATACTTGCGACAAGGGATTTGGTTACAGATTTAGTGTGTGGTGAAGGGGAGATAATTCGCTCTTCAGATTTTATAAGAAAACTTTTTCTTTTTCATGAACGGTTTTCTTTATTCTAGATTTCATTGTTCGAAAAAATAAAATCACACAGTAAAGAAATAAATAAAACAATTTTTAATGTCAACGATACGTAACAAGATTGATGCATGATAAATAATTTGCACAAATGTGCCCTGAGAAAAAAATAAAATCATGACTACAACAGCTCAACTACAGGATGGGTTTGGTTGATAATCATCACAAGGGTCCTCAGCAAAAGATGTTATAAAAAGGTCTTCCATCCTTAGTAAATGTTATAAATTTGCATTTTGGTACCAAAAAAGTTCTATCATACCTAAGTCTCCCGGAGCATTTCCTTGTGCTACTGCATGGCTTATTCAATGCAATATATTTATTAAATAAAGAACCTTAAAACAATAAACAAACAAGAACTTTGAAGAACAAATCCATGACAGACTGGGAAATTATTTTGTATACTGGTTTGCCAATTTAAAGAATGTTCTGTCAAATCATCAATGAGACATTTTGACATTGTGAATTTCGTAATTTACTTGTGTTCATTGAAGAATTATCAATATTAAGCAATTAAATACTAACCCTATATATTTATCTATAAAATTAATTTCACATCAAGAGACGCTAACTTTTTCACTTTTAATAGCAATAACCTGATGGACCAGACATACAAGTTTTAGGCATTTAGACAACCAAAAATTTCCCAGTCTGCATTTATACAATATGACAAATAAGTTTCATACATGTCTATTAGATAAATGTGGCAAAAAATGTTTGATATGAATTTCAATAAAGATCATTATAAAAACGATGGTCCCATTATATACATAGTTTTGGCTAATGCTGATGTAACATTTCCCATAAACTGTACAGTAGAAAAGGACATAAAAACATTTTTTTTCTTTTTGACTAAGCTACATGTTAATCATAACCAAATTATATACTACAGAGCCAACAAATCATGCTGCTTTTCACTAATGGAAATAAATCTTTTCTGTATAAAACACAATCAATCTTACAATATTTAATTATACAACTGCAATTAAATCCATGTAATTATAAAATTACAACTAAATCCATGTATGATATTCAACCACTTGTGTACTCTAGAATTTTAGGAAAATGCTGCATTGAATGAAATAAGATCAAATTGTGTCACACATCAGGCTTTTTCCACTTGTAACAGCTATCTATGCGCATGTATGAGATACAACTGTCCACAGTAATATTGTGGGCTTTAAGAAAGAATTCAATAAGAATATTTACGATTCCTTTTATTATGATTTCTTATACATGAATCAAGCAATTAGAACATGATTAACAAAATAATAGAGGTATTTGAAACATATCACTGAAATTCTTTGTATAAACTACATTGTTAGACAAATAGTTTTGTAGGAAAATCATATGATCTGTAATATCTGCTAACATATTAGAAGACTTCTATGGGGTAAGGCTTATTATTAATATAGGCAATAGCTTGTGTACACTATGTAATGTTTATCAAGCTAATTCCTAAACATGAGACAGATAGACCAGTCATTTAAATTTCAAAACTGTATGAACATATTAAACCTGCTGACTGTCATTTGAGGATTTTGAATCCCGTACAAATAACAATCTCTAAAAGGAATATCAGGCCAACAATTAAACCTCTATAAGGAATACCAGTCCAATAATGGTTCAATTCTCATCAGTATTTTCAAAGATATGATGAATTGAAAATATTGCATTAGCCATTCTCTGCAGATGATATTAGCAAGCCAGCATAAAACCTTTTAATAGGCCTCTTAGATATTGTCTGAAAAATGAAAATGATCATCAGGGCCTTTAATTATACATCAAAAGTCTGCAGGAATAGTAATCCTCCATTTAATTCAAAGCAAATCTGAGCCATGAAACTTCTTAAATTGAAAAAGACTCAATAAATAATATTAACCAGCGGTTGCCAGGCAAGATACGCCCACATTTTGCAAGAGATGGATAGAAAGTCCACAACCTATAACAGTGATACATTTAAATGCTTTTTAAAATCGGATACAAATTGTGATCTCTAGAGGATCCACAGGCTAAAAATGTGATTTTTTTTGTACAATCAGGGGCCATAATTCAGGAAGTTACTGTCCGATATGCTCAAATATCCAAAGGAACCAAGCTCTTTGGATTATAATCATACATTTCAAGTTTCATCAAAATCAGATAAAAATTGTGTCCACAACATTGGTATTACATACTTTTACAGTATTTGCGTACAAGGAGTGGCCATTTTGTCCAGCACTTTGGGTCAGATTTTTACGAAATGTGAACTCAACCTTCATTGATGTGTTAACGGTGATATATTTAAACATTTTTTAAAATTGAATACAAATTGCAACTTCTAGCAGGTCCATGAGCTAAAAATGCAATTTCTCAAACAATTAGGGGCCATAATCCAGGACGTTACGTTCAGATATGCACGATTTTCGAAAGGAACCAAGATCTTTGTGATATAAACATTAATTTAAACTTTCATCAAAATCGGATCAAAATTGTGGCCTCTAGAGGGTACACAACCTTGATATACCATATATTTACACTATCTGCGTACGAGGGATGGCCATTTTGTCCGGCAGTTTTGGTCCAATTTTCACGAAAGTTAAAGAAGGTTATTCTTTATTGTGTAATGGTGATATCAAACATTTTTTTAAATCGGATAGTAATTGTGACCTCTAGAGGGACCACAAGCTAAAAACGCGATGTTCTGTACAATCAGGGGCCATAATTTGGAAGTTACAATCTAATATGTGCAAATATCAAAAGGAACCAAGATCTTTGGGTTATAAACATGCATTTCAAGTTTCATCAAAACCAGATGAAAATTGTGTCCTCTAGAGTGTCCACAAGCTAAAAACATGATTTTTCGTACAATCAGGGGCCATAATCCATGTGACCTCTAGAGGAACCACAAGCTAAAAACGCGATTTTCTGTACAATCAGGGGCCATAATTTCGGAAGTTACAATCTGATATATGCAAATATCGAAAGGAACCAAGATCTTTGGGTTATAAACATACATTTCAAGTTTCATCAAAACCAGATGAAAATTGTGTCCTCTAGAGTGTCCACAAGCTAAAAACATGATTTTTCGTACAATCAGGGGCCATAATCCATGAAGTTTCGATTCGATACATGCCAATGAACCAAGATCTTTTGAGATTAACCTATATTTGAAGTTTCGTCAAAATCAAATAAGAATTGTGACTTAAAGAGTGTCCACAACCAAATTGGGGAAGGACAGATAGGGGTGACAACAATATACGTCCATCATAGTTAATGGTTTTTTCTTATTTTAGAGTTTGATTAAATTAATTTACATGGCACATATAATCATGTTTTAGCACTTGTTAAATTGAAATATATTTATGCATTTTAAATATTCAAAGATGCATTATGTAAGATTTATGCCCATTGAAAAAGAGCTGGCAGTTCTCGCTATAATAGTTAACAAGTAGATAATGAAGAATAGTGTAGTCTCGATTGTCATTGCTACTGTTGTTATGATAATAAAGAAAGTCTCGATAATCCATTTTTAAAGTAAATTATTAACTAGCAATCGTGTTTAAACCCGTTGAAAATCAAAAGCATTCGATGGTTTAGAGCGTTTATTATGGACTTGGTAAGTGAATAAATGTCTAATTAAACATGCATTATGCAAGAGCTAAATCTGCCTATTGCAGGTCTTTCTTTAGGCCTGAAATGTTTTCTAAAGTATTAATTAGACATTAATTAACTGATCCAGGCCTTAATCAACTCTCGATGGCATCAGATTTCTCCGATATTAAATAGATTAGAATGGTTCAGCAAACTTTGATTTAATCAAATATGGAGGACCGAGACTTAGCTTCGATCAACCAGTACGGTGGTTGAAATTATTGCACACGTCTGTCAAACCTTCAAAGGTTAATATCTTCGCTTGCAATAGAGTAATTTGAATGAAATTTTCAAATTATACATTTTACATCATCTACTTTCGAACTATTATAGCAAGAATGGCTAGTTCTTTATCTAAATCTTACATAATGTATCTTTAATGATTTATATAATATTTCAGGTCAAACGCAAGATCTGTATTAAACAGATTTAGCTCCTACATAATGCATCTTTAAACAAAAATATTTTAAAAAAACTTACTACTTTCATGTTTATTGTTTAAATATACACTATACCTTTATTTATTACCTACATTAAAAAGTCTGAGCAGAGTGGTGGAATGGAAGTAAAATGTAATTCTATGTTATTTAAGACGTAGAAACGATAACAAACTATAGTATATAATTTACTAAAATAATAACTTATATTAGCATGATTACATTATTATTATCTGAACTTAAAAAACGTAAATCTAAGAAGTAGAAATAAACTATGGTATTTAATTTATTTATGACTACCAAAAAACAAACTATCCCATCATTCCTTTTAACTTGACTACATTATTATAATCTGAACTTAAAAATTAAATATACATACATACAAATAAGGTCCCAAAATAAAATAATCTGTTTCTGAGACTGCCTACTGCTCTTTGTATTTTTTTGTAAATAACATGTAGACTGAGGATTTAGTACGTTTTTTGTATCTAATTTATTCATAGAGAATCTCCTAATGGTCTTTTGATATCCAAAAAGACGAGTAGGAGATTTTATTTATCACCCAACCCTTTCTTGTGCGCACAAATAAGTTGATATAATTTTTTGGTATAGATCTAATTTTACTGAGCCTGATTACTTTATGGTGTAGTAATACATGTACATCATTTTTTGACAAGTCACATGATGCAAAGTCCTATATATTGGCGAGTATTGTAATTGTTTATGGTAATGAGAACTTTTCTCCAACAATATTACTGGATCCAAAACGTAGGTCCTTTTTTAATAAAAAAAAAGTAGTTCCTTTTTAATTAACCAATCAAATTCATGAAAAGCGATATCTCGCTCAGTAGATTATGAAAGTTATCACAGCGATATGTACTGTAGAATGTGTTATTGGGTGATAAATAACGGTAATATAGATCCAATTTCAAATTTTGTAGTCATATTTTCAAAACAGATGGTTTCATTTTTTGGGCCAAACAAATTTTTTAACGAAAATTGCTTTATAAACAATTATTTACAATTTTATACATTTCATAAAATTTACTATTAATAGATTATTCAACAAAGCATGTAAGACTGACCAGTTTAAAAATATATATTATATAAGCTATATAATACTACTGTCTTAAATCATTTAAATATTTCACCACTAAAGGCATGTACCGGTGTGACAGTTTGAATTGACTCTTGGTGTGTTTGCTCTTGGGTACTTGCACATGTCCGAAACTGTTAAGAATTATTTTTAAGTATTTGGTTAGAGTTTTGTCACTAATAAACATACTTGTTATCGTGATTAGCTAATCAGTAGTTACACGATCAACGGATCTAAGTTGATTGCCTTGAAATTGATACTTCTATGGTTTGTGGCTTGTTGCCTTGGTTTTTTTAGTGATGTAGTCATTACACTTTTTGATGTTTTAACTATGTTTTAATTATTAACTATTTTGCAGATTGCATATTGGCCTTTACATGATTGGGATTTCTCTATATCATTGTTATTTTAATTTTGTACTTCTTAGTAAAATTCACAATATAGCCTGTGTGTTTTATTACTCAAATGCCAATTCTTTGTCATGCAAACCATGGGATCTAAATCTGAAACTAAATCTAAAAACACCCATTTCTTGAACATGAATATATATTTATCACCCCATTCCATACAAAGAAAAGAAAGCGGTAATAAATACTTGTTGTAAATTTGGGTTCAAACATGCATGCAAATTGCACAAGGGACAATCATTTTGAATTAAATTTTTGCATTGTGGTCGGGAATATACTGAATAATAATACAGATTGTCAATTTGTATTTCTACTTTTTATCGAATTAAACAAAAAATAGAAACTCGACACCCTCTCCTGATAGTAATACTGTAAATATTGGTAGATAATAGTGTAGAAACCGACCCTAAAAAAATCTTAGGGGAAATCCTATCACGGGGAGTCAATGCATACCGTGTCCATAACGGTGTGAGTTCACTCCTACAACTGCGCATGTGCTGAACAGTAATCACACACCAGGAACCATCTGACACTGTCACACTGGTAAGCATCAAAATTTGTGAATTAATTAACAAAATATTTACTAAATATATCTTTGCCTCAGTTCAATAAGAAAGTTATTTTTAGAAAAAGTACTAGTATGTACATTAAATGAGCTTAAATAAACAATGAATCTGAAGTATATATGGTTTTGGAATAAGTGGAGATGATTTTATGGCTTTATAAGCTGTATAAATTACATTTTGTCATTCTGTAGTAAAATAATATATTCATTTCTCAATATTCTAGAAGAAAATGTAGTACAATTATAATGTATTAAGAGTTTTCTATATCTAATACACTGGCCTTTCATTCAAACCATTGACTATGTCAGGCTGCAGATGTTTGCTCTAAAGGTTTAGAGGAACACTTAAAGGAAACGAAAAAAAATGAAATGGGGTTTAACGTCCTACTGACCACTTAAAGGACCTTTTACTAACTAATTGATTTTGATTACTTCTGCATTGTGTTCAATAAATTTTTTACTAAGTAACACTTGTCTTCACAATCATTGATTGAACTACTTTTCATTGATTAACACCTTGAAATCGAGTCAACCTTTTCTGTACCTTTGCTCCTATAAACTTATTGATGAAAGAAAAATCCTCAGATAATGTGGAATTCAAGCTGAGAAATTTTCAAAGACAAAAGACAGTTTATGAAACCAGCGGCTGCCAGGCAGGATACGCCCACATTTTCGAGAGATGGATAGAGAACAAGCTAACAAGAAAGTGATTTTTCCTACAATCAAGGGCCATAATTCAGGAAATTACAATTCGATATGCGCATATATAGAAAGGAACCGAGATCTTTGGGTTATAAACTTATATTTCAAGTTTCAACAAAATCGGATAAAAATTGTGACCTCTATAGGGTCCACAACCTTGATATACCATATTTTTACGCTATTTGTGAAACAACGGCGGCCATTTTGTCTGTCAATTTTGGGCCGATTTTCATGAAATTCAAACTCAGTCGTCCTTAGGGTGTAACAGTGATATAATAATACGTTTTTTTAAATCGGATAAAAATTATGACCTCTATAGGGTCCACAAGCTAAAAACGCGATTTTTCGTACAATCAGGGGCCATAATTCAGGAAATTACGGTCCGATATGTGCGAATATCGAAAGGAACCAAGATCTTTGGGTTATAAACTTATATTTCAAGTTTCAACAAAATCGGATAAAAATTGTGACCTCTATAGGGTCCACAACCTTGATATAACATATTCTTATGCTATTCCAGAACGAACGGCGGCCATTTTGTCTGTCAATTTTGGGCCGATTTTCACGAAATTCCAACTCAGTCGTCCTTAGGGTGTAACGGTGATATAATAATACGTTTTTTTAAATCAGATAAAAATTATGACCTCTATAGGGTCCACAAGCTAAAAACGTGATTTTTCGTACAATCAGGGGCCATAATTCAGGAAGTTACTGTCTGATATGTGCCAATATCGAAAGCAGCCGAGATCTTTTGGGGATAAACCTATATTTCAAGTTTCGTCGAAATCGGATAAGAATTGTGACCTGTAGAGAGTCCACAAACAATTGTGGACGGATGGACATCCGGACGGACAGGGGCGACAGCATAATACGTTCACATGAAAATGTGGGCGTATAAAAATAAATCATACCTATATTATCTACCATTTATCAGATAATTTGTCCTACATTTAGCAACTAATTAATTTCAGTCAATTAATAAAATGGACCTTACTACATCAACATTATGTACATAACACCCATTATTACACTGACTGGAGTGAATGATGATTCTTTTTGACATGGCCCACAGTCAGAAAAATGGGAAATTAATCAATTTGACTTAAATCATAAACTTCTATCTGTAAGACACAGTAGCTGAACTGAGACTTAGATGACTTATCAGTAGTATAAATTATTATATGTAAGGCCATTTTTAAAGAAAACAAGCCAACAGTGAGGCTGATGTCCCCCATTGAAATCCCAAAATAAATAGATGACACATATTAATTAATCACATATTTATTTTTTTCAAAACTACACTCTAAGTTTCATCACTCTCTATCAGATAGAATCAAGATTATCTTGTCCCAAAGCATCGACCAATGAAATTGATTAGCTCTGCTTAGCTTTAGCTTGAAATGTTAATCATTGAAATCAGTCAAGACATTCACTTAGGGAACATCTACATCAGGTTTAAACATTCTACCTCAATTAAAAGCAGAGTTTTTATGTTCCAAAGGCTTGACCAATCAAATTGCTTATCGCTCCTTAGCCCAGGCAGAAAATTCGCACAATCGAACTTAGTTAAGGTAATGATATAATGAATCTATATTTAGAGTTTCATCGCTCTCACTTCATTATAACCGAAGTTATTGTGCCCCTAAAGCATCAACCAATCAGATTGCTTATCTCTGACTAACGTAATCAGACAATGTTCATCATAGAACTCCATCAAGGGATTCACCTAATGAATGCCAACAAAAGGTTTGAACATTCTACCTCAATTAGAAGGAGAGTTAATGTGTTCCAAAGTCTTGACCAAACAAATTGCTTATCGCTCTGCTTACCCTCAGCAGAAAATGTTCATTATCGAACTTAGTCAAGGTATTGATGTAATAAAGCTATACACCAAGTGTCCTCACTCTCACTTGATTAGAACTAAAGTTATCGTGTCCCAAAGCATCAACCAATCAAATTGCGTATCTATTTACCCTTAGCAGAAAATGCTCATCTTCGAACTTCATCATTAAGGCATTGACCCAATAAACACCTACACCAAGTTTGAACATTCTAGCTCAATTAGAAGGAGAGTTATTGTGTCCCAAAAAGTGTGAAAGACAGACAGACAGACGGACGGACAAACCCATTTCAATAGTCCCCTGCTTTCTTTGAAAGGCGGGGGACAAAAAAAAATATTCTGGTACTTAGATACTGCCACTCACTTAAAAAGGGAAGCTAGATCCATTTTTATTTTTTTAAAAATTAAAAACATTCCCATTGACTACCACCCATTTGTATTTCCACTCGAAAGCTTATGTACAAGATAGCAATTCATTACTGCTTGTAAACGATCTTGTATTTATTACTATTAGTAATTATGTGATGCTTGTTAAAAGTCATCGGACAAACTAAAAACAAAAAATAAAATAAAAACCTCCCTTTTTGGAAGTATTGTCTGAGTACCAGAATATTTTTTGTATGATCTAATTGTGGTATTGATTACTGTAAATATATACACTCAACCATACTTACACTTAAGTAACAAAATATATAAATTTACATCTTTACTATACCCATTCATACTTTAACAACCACTACCCAAAAATACTCGCTGATTGAAAATCACGGATTATTTCTAGTAGCTGAGTATGTCAGCTCCATGTTGGATCATAAGCTTTCCAGGTTTGTGGTGGTGCCAGATAAATTCTCCTACCACGAAAAACAAAACTAACTACTCCTCTGTATGCACTTCGTGGAACACCAGCCTGAAACATTACATCAATTATATGTATATCATCTATTTTACTAACAAAATCATCCATGGTTAAAGTCACAATTTCTATTTTATATACATTGCATACCATAGTTTAATTAACATTTCAATTTTGGAAATATCTTACCTTATAATCATCCATTATTCCTAATTTTTTTGCAGCTGCTTTAAAATCATTTTTATTATTGTACTGTACTCTAGCAGCAGGTAGTTCAGGTTTAGCTGCCAATACAACTTCTGTTACTGTCATTAAAGGCGCATCATACACTTTCTTTACAAAATTTTTATCATAAGTTTCCTGAAAATATAGATCCACATGTATTTAACTTGAAATAAGAAAGACATTTGAAGAGTTTAAATAAATACAACACACATTACAGTATATGTATTTCAGTCATTTTGAGTAGGAGGTATTTCAGAGTAATCTAAATATGGATTCTATTGGAACGAAACTAACAGCAGTAAATTCTTATATTGATCTAAGTTATCTTAATATGTATAAGAAATAAACTTTGACAAATTTGAAGAGTTATTGCCCTTAGCATCTTCATTGACGTGACTTCTATCCAGGCAATAATGGAATTGAGACCAGATGGCTGTTACTAAGTTTGACCATTTTAACAACCTTTAGGTAAGTTGTTTTAGGTTTTTATTTTTTTTATTTTATAGAATACTATTTACATGAATATAATATAAACTTACCTTCTTTAAATATGAAAGATCGATTTTTGTAAAAGGCACTGACTTCTCATTAAGTTTTATGTATTTGAGATGTTTTTCATAAAATAAACCACTAAAAAAAATAAAAAATTGTTAGACAAAGATTTGGTACAAAATATGCTGACTACCTGTGGCCAATAACATAACTTAAACACATTTAATGTCGAAAAACACTGGTCACAATTCTATGGAATGATTTCGAAAGTCAGAAATTTATAACTACGACATCCAACAAACATTGTTTAAACATATATTATGCAAGAGCTAAATCTGCCTATTGCAGACCTTTCTTTAGGCCTGAAATGGTATCTAAATTATTAATGTAATTAGATATTAATTAACTTATTCAGACCATAAACAACTCTCGATGTCATCACTAGCCTGTGATATTTACTGGATTAGGATCCGATTTGCTGCTAAACTTTCATTCAGGATTTAATCATGAAATGAATAATCGACACTATGTTTTTTATCGTACTGACTTTAGTAATGATGATCGAGACTAGGCCAAAAATTCAATCACTAAATTCTCTGTTCCGATTGGATCAATTTTCAGCAAACTCTCTTTACATTTTCTAGTTTTTAACTATTATAGTGAGAACTGCCAGCTCTTTATCTAATCTCCCATAATGTATCTTTAATTAAATGAAATCTGTATGAATTAGGTGCACTAACATACATTTAGTAATTATAAACTTACTTGCTTACTCCTTTTTTACCAAATGTACTTGTTCTACATATTTCAGGTCTTATACATTCTCTTCCCTGTCTTTGTCCAGGATGTCTCATCCAATCATCCCAAAACCTGATAAATATACATATAACAAATAGTGTGCTTGAAGGCATATTGCCCAACATTACAGCTGTGTTTCACAGTGTAATCTGCCATAAAGACAAAGGCTGATATTGGGAGCTGAAATGTCCAAATGGTAGCATATCAAAATATTGCAATTGTATCTTTCTCACCCTTATTCCAATCTTACAAAAACTTTCTAATCGAATATGATTGTTAGCCTTATATCATGTTTGAGTTTTTGTTTTTAAAGGCCACAATAAGAAATGAAATGAAATGAAATGGGGTTTAACGTCCTACTGTTCTGCTCCTATACTGGTAGGGATGTACGATATTTCAAAAAGGGACGATATCGATATTGGCATTTTTATCAACGATATAGTTCAATATCGAGATATTTAATAATAATGTCACTTTGCTATTAAATAAATTAAATATAAATGCATTAAAGCTGACTACACTGTGAGTAAGATTTAAGAATTGTGGGTAAGAATTGCTTTATTCATACACTTTAAACTTTGCTTTTTTTATAATATAAATTTATTAAAATGAACTAAACAACACCCTTTTTGGATGAATATTAAATACAACCGCTGATGTTTAAAAAGCGTATGCTTGTGACCATGTGTAAGAAAATTCTCAAATATCACGTGCAGCGGAAGTAAGTAGATGCGGTCTTCAAATCTTGTATCGTACATTTAAGTTCAAACAGTTTAACAAATACTAAATGATCCGGACTATCTTCCATTCAAGCATTCGATTGGCTGCGGTATTCCTGGCCTAACAGTGACAGTAATATATTTATAGATCGTTTTATTCTTGCTTTCAGAAATTAAGTTTTGTAGAGTTTTCTAAAAATATTCGTTTTTCAAAAATATGACAACCTATTTATAGCCTGGTAATTAGCTGCGGCAGTGGGAAATTTCAGGCGTTTGGTAGGCCTAAGCGTACATGTAGTAACAACTGACAATTTATTGTCGACTAAAAACAAAGTAAAAGTAACGATGCAGTAAAAAACGGCTGCGGACACTGCGCAAGTGTTTTCAACATTTAACGATTCTCAAAACATTAGTTTTACTATAGTTTATTGCCGTCAGCTAATTTCCACTGCTGTATAGTGTATTTATTATCTATTTTTACGAAATTTTTTTTCAATATTTGAAGTTTTGGGCGATATTCGATAAACCACTATATTATATCGACGATATTTGGCCACATGATATCGTAGTTGGGTCTGAAAATACCATATCGCAATAAATGACTATATCGAGAATATCATACAGCCCTATATACTGGGCTAATGAAGATGGGCATACGCCATACAGTGTGCTATGAGGGAAATTTTGCCTGGGCAGCCGCACTATCGCCTACTCTTATATCGAATTCCAACTGCCAGAGGGATCTTTTATGTGCATTCCAATATATACACGGGACCTCGGTTTTTCATATCATCTGAAGGACTAGACAGCTGTCCTTGTCAGGCCCTCCGTTCTCCACCACTGACAAGGGGAAACCACGTCAGAAAATCCGGATGAACTTGCCACAATAAGAAGAATTCTTACGTTTCTGGCCATTTTGGTCCCAATTCTAACCATAAAGATCTTTCTATCATCCAGCCTAAACCAGGAAAAAAGTCACTTCTATATAATAACTCTGAAATTATAATGATAATGAATATAATAAATATGTTCTATGATTAATTGGATAATATAAATATAATAGATATGCTGTACGATTAATCTGAAAATTTAAATATAATAAATATGTTATACGATTAATCTGATATATACATAATATGATAAAGTTTGATAAATACATAATATTTTATATGATTAATCTGATAATATAAATATAATCAATATGATAATATAAATATAATCAATATGATAATATAAAAATAATCACAGTGAGAGAAATGGGATTTAACGTCCACTCAACACAGACTGAATGGCCGAATGGTTAGCACATGCCCGCTGTATCATAAAGCCTGTCATTGAGTCAACTGGCGTGGTTTCGAATCCCTGGTTGTACATGACAAGGAGTAGGGTCGCCTGTCCAACCTCGTGGGTTTTCTCCAGGTCCTCCGGTTTCCTCCCACTGCTAAAGACCCCTACGCGCAAGCGAATTATTGAAATAAAATTAAACCATATGTTAGTCCCGAAATGACCTATTTTGTGTCGAGTGGATGTTAAACCCCATTTCTCTCTCTGTCTCTCTCATTTTGGGATTAACATATGGTTTAATTTTATGTCAATAATTCGCTTGCACGTTCAATAATTCGCTTGCACGTAGGTGTCTTTAGCAGTGGGAGGAAACCGGAGGACCCGGAGAAAACCCACGAGGCTGGATAAAAATAATCAATGATAATTTAAATATAATCAAAATGAATAGTACCTGGTTCATCGGACACTAGATTAGCTTTACCATTATCATTCCATGCTGACACACACCACAAATGGGGGTCTTCTTTTAATAAAGGATATGTTGCAGAAAAATATTCATAGAAATCTGGTGATATGTCTAAATCATCTGTAACAAATGAAAATATATTTTGTTTCATAAATCTTATACATCTGTGACATTTTATTTTGTTAATTTTTTATTCTCTTGTCATCGCATTTTATTTTTGTTGTAATAGTTTTTAATACTTTTCGGAACTAAATTACTTAATAGCAACTTTTGCGGGCGGTTATTTCTCACATTCCTAACCTTCAAGAGAACAACTAACATCATTCTTGATTCTTACCTTCAACAATAATAACAGCTGAATAATTATACACGAGAAAGACTTGGTTAAGAGCCCACTTATAATGGCGAGCTATTTTATAATATCCCACAAACTTTCTCTGTGGCCATGGTAAACTTATTTCTCTTAAATCTGGTTGCTGTAAAAGAATTTTTCAAAAACTTCAGTTAAGCAAATATGTGCCAATCTGCTCAAAATTATGCTCCTATTTCGAGAACTGTCAACAACATACTTATAAAGTGAGTCATTTTATATCAGAGATTTCAGCTGTGTAATCTTCAATCTTTTTTTTTATACCAAATGATTTTAAACTGACTCTGTGTCACAAGCTGCTCCTATTGAGATCAGGCCCCGAGTTCACAAAGCATTCTCAGACTTAAGTTAAGAATTAACTCAAAATTATTTGCCTTATTTTAACTAAAATATAGCCCTTTATAAAACTTTTGTTGTTTTAACGTATTAAATACATCAATAAGAAAGCATGTGCAAGGTTTTGTGTTTCTAGATCAAAGATATTTCTCATAAACAGTGATTGAAAGTTGAGTAAATTCTTAACTTAAATCTGAGAATGCTTTGTGAACTCGGGGCCTGATCATTTGTCAGAATTGAGAAATATATTAGACATCCAGAATATAAGGAACAAGTTTTCCAAAGCTGACTTAAAACAAATTGATTTTCTAGACCTAGAAAAACGGTTCGATTTTAAACATACAAGGCAGATGTTAGAGAACAATGTATATAACTGTAAATATAGCATGTTTACCTACCTGTATATGTTTAACACCATGTTTTTCTACATATTGTTTTATTACAGTTGCTGTAGGTTGATGACCACAATCTTGTGTGACTATGATTGGAAATTTTTCACCCGATGGACGATATCTAAAATAAGTCAATAAAGAAAGCATGTAATTCATTAGCAAGAGATAATACAGATATTCTTTTTTATGTTTCATATGCACAAACATTTATAATTTAATTTAAAAGGTACATAAGGTGAGCGAGAAAACTTTTCGGTACTATATCCACTTTACGGCAAGTTCACACCAATCTGGGGGGTTGGATAGTCGAATGGTTAGCATGCGCGCGCTGTATCATACGGTCTGTCATTGAGTCAACTGGAGGGGTTTCGATTCCCCGGTTGTACGTGACAAGGAGTAGGGTGGGTCGCCTGTCCAACCTCGTGGGTTTTCTCCGGGTCCTCTGGTTTTCTCCCACAGCTAAAGACCCTTACGCGCAAGCGAATGATTGAAATAAAATTGAACCATGTGTTAGTCCCGAAATGACCTAGTTTGTGTCGAGTGGACGTTAAACCCCATTTCTCTCTCTCTCACATTAATCTGATTAAAATTAATTCAGCTATTAATGTTTAAGTATCTGACACCCCAAAATGCATTTCAATTACAACCTTAATCCGGTTGATTGGCTGGTGATGTCACAGGGACTACACATAGTATATACATTATCTATACAATATATCACTGTCTGTACAATATGTCACTGTCTATACACACCATTTTGACGGTCCAATCAACTATGAGTGGCCTAATCATAATCACCGAATTATTGTCTGGCATTGTTATAGATTAGACACTCACTTGTGAGTGGAATATTTTAGAGTGAATTAAAAAAAAAAGTTTCATGCTGTTGATCCATTTAAGCTGACTCTGTTTAAATAGGCCATGTGGCAAATGAAGACGATCCAAGCAATTAGTGCATTTACCATTAATTTGGATAACCCCATAATACTTGATATCCCAAACAATTTTCTATAAGTACAGTAATACAAATGGTGCCAGTCACTTATCCATATGTTCATTATTTATTAGCGATATATAATAATAATAATCATTTCTATACACAAAGAAAAACTTTTATGATAACTCCATTTGAAACTCACAGTGAATAAGGAATTTTCCGTCCGATGACTATGCATAACAATAGAGCGCCCTCATTTCTCAGCCAATCAAGGCTGGGAATCTTATTACCATGTACGGTTCCATGCATACTATGGGCGTAGTAACTGACGTTAAATTTTGACGCCAAAATTGCATGGACATGAATATCAAATACACCTGATCACACATGGAGTTCCTGATGCCGTTTGGTGAGTGATGAAACTGTCAATGTAATTGTAAAATACCTTTTTTATAAGTAAGTTAAACGATGTTAGACATTATAACCTAATCTTATCCATCATGTGAAGTCAATTAAATATTGTCTAAACGCCAATCAACAAATTATACGAGGCTACTTTATTACAAAAACATCGGTGAACAAATCTAATTGATTATTGGGTAAATAATAATTATGAATAACTGATCAGTAAAACTTAATAATTCTTTACAATTAATGTGTGTAAGATTCAACGATTAGTTGTGGTGTTGAGAAATGTCTGTAGAAAAGTTCCCCCGTAACTTTTTTGGTTCGTTTGTGGGGTATTACGCACACATTCCACCTAGATTGATATCTTTGATCTGGCCACCGTAAAAGATAATTCCCTATTCAGCATTCTTAATCCCACATCGAGGTGTAAATTAATTTATGACCCCATGTCTGTGCAACTTTAGTCAGATTGATTAATGCCAGATATTAACAACACTACACTTGCCATATTATTAATACACAAAGATAGTTACGGTCTATTTCAGAGTAATGATGTCAAATCCACACGCAGAAAGAAAGTCGCCGTACGATGGCTACAGGAAAACGAGATACAGATGGCTACATTTACAAATAGCGTTTCAATCATGTTTGACTTTTATGATACATTTTGCATGACCACATCTTTTTTACTCCTGTACTCTTTTACTTGGGGAAATTAGAACTACAATCCTCTTCTGACGGAAATGTATCTCAAATCATTTGGACTGCACACGATGGTAGAGGGACTATCAAAAAGTCACTTTAAAGCTCAGTTTTAAAATCGCTGTCATGAGAAGAGAGAGAGCAGGGCATTATAAAACAAATTCTAAATTGGATCTTAAATTTAAAAAATAAATTACATAGTCAATTGTTTTATTTAATTAGGGGATTAAGGAATCAGTCAGGCGTTAATGAATGCACGCCGGCTGTATAGGTAATCAAGGAATAAAGATTCCAAATATGCATTCGATCACTGTCACGTCCCTGGCATCTGAGGGGATTAAGTATGTTTTCGATAATTGGCAAAGTTGTTTTTAAGGGAGGTTGCTTTTTGCGCCTTTGTGTGAAAATAGCTAAATTAATTTTAATCAGATTGGTGAGAAGTTGCTGTAAAGTGGATATAGTAACCATTGGCTATACGTACCAAAAAGTTTTCTCGCCCATCTTATATGCATATGTTACAATTGTTATCAATTTACAAAGATACTTCTTGCCAAGATGCGAAACATAGCTCACAGCCGCTAAGTGGTCTACAAAGGTTGTTGCATGGTTATTCTTTTGTAGGTAATAGGAGGATTTAAAGAAACCAAAAACTCTGACAGTAATCATCGGAAATCGTTGAAAAACAGGACTTCTTTGTCTCATAGACATAAACATGGTGTATTAATTTTAACACGATGAGATGAAAACTTTAGCCTCTTATTTCTCCTTTGAAGTGGCAATGAGTCAATTTAAGTGAGAATAAATTTGTCGTCATTAACTTGTTTTAAATTACACTAACCGTTGAATATACATATTAATTTGGAAATTCGATTACAGTAAGTGATGTTATAGACAAATAAAGATTGGACATTATTCAAGAATAATATTGCAAATACCGAAGCTTAAAGTCCAATCTTTATTTGTCTATAATTTCACTTACTGTAACAGAATTAGAGTTCTCAAAAGTTTTATTTGAAAAATGTGGACGTTTTAAAGATTCAATAAGCTTGTAGATGACATAATATAGTATGTTTTAAGTACATGCAAAGACTGGATGTGGTGAGTTTTTATACGCTAACATTGAAATGTTGTCTGTCCAGTCGTCTGTCTGCCAGACGCTATTCCTTGTGGATGCAGCTAGGCAAATTGAAAAATTAGTTAAGAGGATTAGTTGTTTCCATCACATTCCGTTCTTAAAAATAAACCAGAAAATCAGAAATTTGCGAAATAGCAGATTTGTTCTTATCCTCAATGTAGACTTAGGAAAAATGTCAAGATGAGTTCCGTATAGTACCAGTACATTTAATTTTTTAAACCACAGTCATAAGAATTGGAAGTCTATGCAAATAAGCTATATATATAAAGGCAAGCCTGAAGCTGGCTTTTCATTCAAACGTTCACAGAATGACGTCAGTCACGACTATATAAAGGAAATATCTGCACATTCTCACTTAAGCCTGTGAAGAGTTTGCAAAAGACTGACAAGAGTGTGAGAAGAATCTGTGACAGCTACTCTACTCGACACCATATAGATTTCAAATTCTGAAGTGCAGAGGCATATCTAAGTAACAAACAAGCCAACAGTGAGGCTAATGTCCCCCGCCGAAATCCCAAAATAAATAGATGACAAATATTAATTAATCGCACATTTATTTTTTTCGAAAGTATCAAGCAATCAAACTATACACTAAGTTTCATCACTCTCTATCAGATAGAATCAAGATTATCGCTCCTTAGCCTAAGCAGAAAATTCGCACCATCGAACTTAGACAAGGTAATGATATAATAAATCTATCTTCGGAGTTTCATTGCTCTCACTTCATTATAACCAAAGTTATCATGCCCCAAAGCATCAACCAATCAAACTGCTTATCTCTGCTTACCCTAAGCAGAAAATGCCCATCTGCAACTCCATCAAGGCACTGACCTAATAAACACCTACATCAGGTTTGAACATTCTAGCTCCATTAGAAGGAGAGTTATTGTGTTCCAAAGTCTCGGCCAATCAAATTGCTTATCACTCTGCTTACCCTGAGCAGATAATGCTCATTATAGAACTTAGTCAAGGTATTGATGTAATAAAACTATACACCAAGTTCCATCACTCTCACTTAATTAGAATTAAAGTTATCGTGTCCCAAAGCATCAACCAATCAAATTGCTTATCTCTGCTTACCCTAAGAAGAAAATGCTCATCTTCGAACTCCATCAAGGCATTGACCTAATAAACACCTACACTAAGTTTGAACATTCTAGCACAATTAGAAAGAGAGTTACTGTGTCCTAAAAAGTGTAACGGACGGACAGACAGACGGACGAACCCATTTTAATAGTCCCCTGCTTTCTTCGAAAGGCGGGGGACAATTATGTATATTAAAATGGATAAAAACTTTTATAGAACGTGTGCATTGAGAGAGATTCAAATTTTATAGCATCATTGAATAAATTTAAATACATGATATAAAAAGGAAATCAGCAGATGTCCTGAAATATTTCAGCAAACCTCTGATGCATGTAATAAACTAGCATGATAAGGTAATAACTCTAGTGCATTTATATGCATGTATTCAGATTCTCTTATAATCAATTTACACCTTATAATGGGAAATATTTTTACTTCATCTTGATATTTAACTTGTGTTTAGATATGCAACTGGCATGGTGTTTATTTATTGATTGCTATTAACAGCATTGATATAAATGATTCAATCCAACTAAATGTACACCACAATAAAAGAACTGATTATGATTTAACCATGATAATACATTCGATTCTGACATTTCTACACTTAGATCATGGTGAATGGATCTAGGTCCATAAAGGCTTCTTGTAACGAAATGCTGAGTAGAGATATTTAAATATCAAAGCAATCATATAATATTTTTCATGATAGGCTGTGAGAAGCAAAATCCTTTATGAGTTCCTGTTCTCACATTTATAAAATGATAGACTAAATGCTGATTATCTGAATTTTCTTAATACACTATAACACATGCTTTTAGAAAACAGCTACAAATATATTTTCCATAAGTATGTGTTAAATGTCAGTAATATTATTGCATTTTCTTACTTGAGTAATTGATCAAGACTTCTACTAACAGTTACTCTATTACAAGCAAACATCAATATAGGTAATACATCAGCTTTAGGTATATCTTCATGTAATTCTGGTGGAGGAGATGTGGCAGTTGATACTAAAATAAAGACAAGATAAAAATTCATAAAAATACAGAAATAATGAAAGCTAACAGTGACGCTGATATCCTCCACCCCAATCCCCAAATAATGCATGAAACAATCAAATTATTCATCCCTCTGCATAACCCAAGTAGAAAATGCTCCTTATCGAACTTAGTCAAAGTACTGATGTAATAAAACTAAAGCCATTTTAATAGACGATGCAAGTCCAGTAGCCCCAATCAATGTTCACATTTGGGGGGGGGGGGGTAATAATAATAAAAAAATTCACAATCTCACCGACACTGAAGCCTTGCAACAGTTGGCACAAATTAATTAATTGCACACTTTTATTTTTGTAAAGCACTGGGCAATCAAATTTCTCATCTAAATTAAGCCTGTGGAAACAGAAAATGCTTATGAATGAACTAAGTAAAGGTAGTTATGTAGTGAAACTACACACCAATTTTCATTACTTTCACTTAATTAGAATCAAAGCATCAGCCGATGAAATTGCTAACCTCTGCTTATCTCAGATTAAGCAGACAATGTTCATTCATCATTGAACTTGGTCAAGGCATTCACCTAATAAACACTTAGGTTAGACCATGTTTGAACATTCTAGTTCAATTAGTAGCAGAGTTATTTACAAATGGTTCCACTACTGATAGCTTTTGTCTTTGACTACAACCACAGTAGTGGATCGTTCTAAGGACTTCCTTTAAGCAGGTTTTGTAATCCTTTGATTACAAAAAAGTTACAAGCTTGTAACTCCCTTAATTTCCAATTTATGGGTCCAAAGAGGTACTACACATAGCTTAAGATATAATCCATGTTGAAATAAAAGTGAAACTTTACCGCATAATTCTTTGATTTTGAAAAAAAACAAAACAATGGCTACTCAAGATTTTGGGTGGGTCAAGTCACGGCCACTTGTGTACATATAAAAACATTGCTTTGAAAATGTAAGTAAAACACATTACGACAAAGAGAAACTGCTCGGTGTCTATATTAAACATACACTATGCAAGAGCTAAACCTGCTTATTGCAGGTTTTTCTTTAGGCCTGAAATGTTATCTAAATTATTAATTAGACATTAATTAACTTATCCAAACCATAATCAACTCTCGATGTCATCGCTAGATGTGATATTTACTGGATTGGATAGTCGAGACTGTTTTTTATCATACCGACTTTAGTAATGGTGATCGAGGCTAGGCCTAAATTTCAATCACTAAATTCTCGGTTCAGAGTGGATCAATTTGACTGAAATTTTCAGCAAATTCCCTTTACATTATCTAGTTTTTAACTATGAGAACTGTGAGAACTGCCAGCTCTTTATCTAATCTCCCATAATGTATGTTTAATGGTTTAATATTCATCACTGTTTGTGATAAAAGCATTCGTTTCAATACAAATTATGATGATATGTGTTGAAAATTGTTGATTTGTGGCTATTTTTACTTGCGCAAAGCATCAATGATGGCGGAAGTTAATTACCATTTGATGAAGAAATAATCAGCGGGGTAGTCAATGATTGTATGGGAAACTATATATCTCTGTTAAATGTTTTCTTGATATTTAGCTGATAATTTGACCTTATTTCATTAATTGGCACTAATGAGAACAATGAATAACTAATAATAACCCTGTTCTATTAGTTAACAAGTTGTCAAAACACTTATCTTTAATAGCTTCATCAAAGTCAAACATCTTTTTACCTTATTACCACTTCAGATAAATACATTAAAATTATTGGCTTTGGAATTATTCAAGATTATTGGACAGATGTATATCTGTGACTAAAAACTGGTGTGAATGTGGATAAATCGAGGTGTTCAATTGTCAGTCCAGGACATTCCGAATTGACGAAATTGCTATTGAGTTACAATGAACTGGAATTGAGTTCTGTATAACATTTCTACCAGTCTCCAAAAAAGGTGTGGTCAGTGTTCGAGACCGACTGATTTATCGGAGGACTATTGCTTGCCTATTTCACTCGGGTCCGCCAGGCCTTTGCCTTGTTATCTCGCATAGTTAGTGTCCACATACGACAATTCTGGAAAGGGTAGAAATGTCATAGAAACGCAACCTCCGAGTCTCCGATAGTTGACGGTTATTGTTTACTTGTCATCGACATGACAGAAGCTGCTGTTTTTCCAAACAGCCTGATTTGTAGCTGGTTTTTTGTCGGCTTTAGCCGCTTGAACTCCAATCAAGCTGATTGGTAAAACAACAAACCGGCCACTATGGTTTCGGCTAAATTTAACGGGTTAATTATTATTTGTTGATTAAGTAGTCAATCAACTTGCTTGTTGGCTACAATAACAGTGATACCTCGGCACAGATTGTGCATCTCGCTCGGGAATCGTGCGTCTTTGACGCTCCGTATGAATTTCAGGTACCGGTAGATACTAAAATAATAATTGGGTCATACATTTAATGGTTTCGTTGACCAGCTTTTAGTTAAATTTGAATCTCAGTTGAATATAATCCTCGGGTAAAACACCGAGAAACAGTCATTAATAATATATTTTTCCAACAAAATCTCCACTGCTGAATCCTATGATGACATGTGACATCGGTTCAAATTAGGTCGATAAAACGGGGATGCTAGTTTTAGTTTTAAGTAGCGTTTACCGTTATGATTTTTTATTTTATACATATGCTGACATAGGCTCAATTTTAAAATATTGTCGTTATTATTATTGAAAACTATATAGCATAGTCGTACTGAATTTTATTCTAAAGCAATTTCAATTATGGTTGTCACATGATCACTGTGCCGTGTGTCTATCATAGACGAATAAATAAAAATATATTTACAAGTTACGTGATAGACAAAAAACTACAAATTGTATTATGAAGAAATACCATGGTGCTGTATCAGTTTATATCCATCCCAAAAAACGAAGACAGTAATTTATTCAGGAAAATTACTGAAATGAATTTCAAGCCGGAACGTGAATTAAATATAGAAAATTTTCCTAAGGGTGTAGCTGTAGGCCTACCTATTTGTCGTTATTTTTGTGGTAATTACATACAATAGAATATGATATTCATCATAAATTACCAAGAATTATTTTTGTTATATTAAAGGTAATGGAAACTTATAATTTTAAAACCATTTCCTACGTGACCTCATTTGACCCAATTCTGGACTATTGTGCTAACAATCTAGTGCGGGACAAGCCAGTTTATGCCAACGCCATCGCGGCAATCGTCAACGTTATCGCCATACGTCAAGTTTTTTTGTTGTAACTGTTTGAAGTTTACGTAGTTTAATAAGAAAAACCCTAAATTATGTAGCCATGAATAGATTTGTTTCCATTAAATTGAATGACACACGAATTTGATTGTCTTTTTTTTTCTTTTTTCTTTCGCAAGTTACTAAACCCGTAGTCCTTCTGTGATGTACTGGCATGTCAATCGATGATGACAATTTAATACTTAGGCATGTGCAGCCGCTTTATATGTACTTCCTTTCCTCTGATCTTCTGCGCTTCGCTTGGAAACTATAAATATTATTATTGGTTGGGCCTGCGTGTCACCTGAAGGACCCACATGATCATGTGTCACACAGGTCCTGCAGGCCTGTGTTTGGAAAATGTTTGTTTCGGCCACTGGGTGTGATATGAGCGGAATGATGACATAATTAAACAGCTATAGTGACTGATCAATATAGTATCTGAGATTTCTGACATGAGAGAACCAGGTTCTTCAGGGCCCACTCTGGGATTCCATGTACATGAGAGGCATGCATACTCTGTTTTAATTTGTACTTACTATCTTTTTTTAGATGTAGTAAATCTTTTAATAAATCTTTATTATCCTTCAGTTGATTAGTAATTTCCCTTTCCAGTCGAGATAATTTTGTCTCAATTTGTTGTTGGTCTTTACCAGTTTGCTTTGAAAAAATAAATAATGAAATTTTTAATATATATATTATTTTTAAATAATCCATTTTTAAATTTTTAGTATTAAAGCCAGAACGGCCTGCTCTTTATCCCGATCTTACTAAATACATCTTTAATTTGCTACTGAATGTATGCTGATCAAGTAACTCTAAAACAACAGATTTTATTATAGAGAAATCATGAAAATAAGGTTGTCTCATTTATAACAAGACACAGAGATTCAGATTTGGCAAGAGGATGAAAAGAAAGGCGGTCAAAAATTAGTTCAAGGGCGTATAGTTCTTTTCTTCACAACATTAATATAAGACGAAAATATTTAATGTATCATATTTCATATAAAATGATCTACATTCAATTCTTTATTAAATTGTTATTGATACATGTATAAGCATTTCAAATTGAAGCTGTTTATTCTAGTTTAATTGTTTATCTTTTTGTCGATCAGCTATTTTTAATTACTTCCCCATTGACTTGCTTTGATCATTACAAATTTCTCTAGAGATCATAGCGAACCCGACATCAGGATCTGATTGCAAAGTGGTCATTGTGTAAATTAGGTAAAAATTAGATAACAACATCAATATTGATTGAAATATGAGCAATGTCAAATTTCAGTTTGTGTTTATATCACAAAGATTATGGATAATATTGAGTTAAGAGGTTTAGCGCCTTTAAATTTCCATCAAAATTGAAAGCAGAAATATAAAGAATTTGATATTTTGTGTACATTTCTGAACAAACTGATTTTCGACAGCATCCCACCCCTATTATAGCTATATAAGTAATGTTAACTGAACAACCAAGATTATGAGAATTAAAAGCTATTAGTCATCTTGTTGTCTATTATATTTTATACATTAACTTCCATCAAAGACGCTATATAAACAAGAGATTTATAAATTCTATGAAAGATGTATCAAGCTTGGCGCCTCACAGTGAACATTTGATATCAAGAACCATATATACAATATGATAATGACCTAAATTTTGTTATCTAATTTTAAACAAGCCAACAGTGAGGTTGATGTCCCCCTCCGAATTCCCAAAATAGATGACACATATTAATTAATAGCACATTAATTTTTTTCAAAAGTATCAAGCAATCAAACTGATTATCAACTATATACTAAGTTTCATCACTCTCTATTAGATAGAATCAAAGTTATCTTGTCCCAAAGCATCGACCAATGAAATTGCTTAGCTTTAGCTCGAAATGTTAAAGATACATTATGGGAAATTAGATAAAGAGCTGGTATTTCTCACTATAATATACTAAACAGCAAAAGAAACGTCAGTACGATTTCAAAATCAGAAAGGCAGTTTAATCAAATAATTCTAGAAAACGACTTACTAAATGGATCAAAGCAATTTTTTGTGAACAGTATGTTGACACATTAGTGATTAATTCATCAGAATTCCAAGACATTATGAGAAGGTTTAGAGTCTGTACACAGTCTATACATCAGTATCTGGTGTGTCCACCGCAAGTGTCAATAATAGATTTTGGAACACCACAGGACCCACTCTCTGTTCAGCAGCGGTGCACAATTCCCATCACCCGACGCCCGGGACAGGTTAATTTTTTGGTTGGACAGCTGAAATTTTGCATTCCGTCCGCCCGCGAACAGGACGATTTTCAATGACAGAAATTCTTTGAAATTGGACAATACTTTGTGATAGAACAAATAATTATTTAAAGCATTTTAGTTCCAGTCTGCGCAATAATAATAGCCGAATAGACTAACTTCAGTCAGAATAACTTACTAAGCGCACGATAGTTCTACCAGTAATAGGTTCCGGTACTAAAAATAACTTTACTAAAAATAACGAGTATTGTCGAATGACAACATTCCTTACCGAAGATACCGCAATTTTTTTTCTCTATGTATTTTGTGAAAATATGTCTTCCTTTTATTGTCATTCACGGCTGGTACTGTTAGAATTATCCCTGTTTCATGAATTATGAATACCCACACTTTGATTTTCCAAAGGAATCATTGATTTTCTGATTAAAATATACTTTATATAGGCAGAAATGTGAAAAATGCTAACCCGTTGAGAGGTACCGGTAGATTGAATGACATTGTGTCATAGTGGTTTGTAAATCGCATGATCCGAAAAACAGCTATTTATTTGACTTAGTTAATGGGCATATTTTGAGACAGCACTCATGTCTCATATTGTATAGTTTAATTTAGTATTCTTGTATTGTAATCAGTGGCGGCACGGGGGCGGGGGGGGGGGGGGATTTGCCCCCCTATTTATCTGGACTGCCCTGTTTGCCCCCCCCCAATAATTTTAGAAAATAAAAAAACGTATTTGTGATACGTTTCGGTAATCAATACCTTCTCTGGTGAATAAATCCCACATCCCCACGCATATCTGACAGTCTATTTTTCAAAATTTTCTTGGCGAGGTCCTAAATGGACTCGATACTTTGGCGTTCACAAGTGGAATTCGTTGAGGTTCGCAAGTCCGTTCGTTGACATTTTGTTCTCTAGTCGGATAAACTAGTGATCAGGCGACGGACGGTATATGGTCAGATCTATTTATCTCGACGATCGGTGCCTGACAGAATACTGTAAGACAGCATTTCCGGCAGTATGTTTTTCAAAATTTTCTGGGGGAGGACTCCCTACTTTGACGCTCTTGAGTGGGCTTCGTCGTGATTCGCAAGTCCGTTCGTTTGAGACTTTACCTCATCGATCAGTGCCTGAAATACTGCCAGGCTGCATTTCCGGCAACCTGTTGTTCAAAAATTTCTGGGGGAGGCCCCCTACCCCTAGTTAAAGCTCTTGCCTTTGCCCCCTTAACCTTGGACTTTGCCCCAGCTTTGCCCCTCCAATCACTGACGGCTGGCGTCGCCACTGATTGTAATACGGCATTTTCAATACGGCATACGCTTGAATGAGAAAAAACGAGTTTGCAAGGGTAAATTGAACCCGTAGCTATAAAAACAACCGATAGAACAACACAAACTTTTTCTGATATTTTTTTCCTTTTTATCTCTCCGTTTATGGTTGTTGCTGTCTATTACAATTATAACATCCAATACATTATTGATGATAATATGGATATCCGTGTCTACATATAAGCGAGTATCCAAAATAATTGTTTAAATCCCCCAATTTATAATTACTTCTTGTTTATCTAGTTTATATATATGTTCTATTTCTCTTTTGTTACTTGTACTTATAAGTTATAGAGATAATATACTTTACCAACGATTAAAACAACTGTCTTCTTGTCATTTAAGTTAATTAAGAAACCCCAATATCAATGAGTATGGTTTTGTAAAATGGCCCTTTTCCTATAAAACTCCCAAAGTCAATATTTTCACAAGCGCTGATAGATTTCAGTGTTTAGTATAACAGTGTTTTTATTAAGTGGATGATCAAACATTTTTCTACTTACCGGTTCTTTTATTTGTTGTTTAGTTGTGAGCATGTAATATGTAAGCAAATTCCATGACACAAAACAGCCCACAACCACAGTTATTAAATATCTGCGTTTAAGTCGCATTGTTAGTCTTTGTAACTCACAATATCATACTGCAGTCTTTGAAACACATCTAAAATATAGTCAATTAACATGATTTGTAAATTTTTGATGATATTATAAGTATTCAAAAATGATAAAATTAACAGCCGAACATATATCTCCCACTCACATGTATCAGCTTGCTGAAATAAAATATGTATAGCTAGAATTAAAATGATCACATACTACTATGTGTGGACACCTGTCAATAAAACAAATATCTTATTTCTGTGTGAATAAGTAGTAAAAATGTTTTCTATATATATGTACTATTTACACAAATAGTCCGGTGGCGGAAGGGGGGGAATCGCCACCCGAGCTGTGAATTTATGAGACCAAGCTTTTCTAGACCAGTTTTTTGAGTAGATTCCGAATCTGGGTGGTGATCAGGCGTTTGAGGAGGGTTTTTTCGAGATATGGGGGGTCCAATGTGATTATATTGACATAAATGATGATCATTTTATATACTTATTAATAAAACATAAATTTATAGGACTGCCCATCGTGGCAAGGTGGGGTGGGTGGTTGCACCTGTGCATATGTGGGTGGGGGGGTAAAATTGGCAGGAAATGAGTTCACTTCGATTTAAATGATGATCCCCCCTTCAGCCACCGGACAAAAATAATAAACATTTAGTGCTGTGGAAAATGTGATTTTAAAAGGAAAGAGAGAGATGGGGTTTAACGTCCACTCGACACCAACCAAGTCATTTTGGTTCTAACACATGGTTCAATTTTATTTCAATAATTCACTTCTGCATAGGGGTCTTTAGTAGTGGGAAGAAACCGTAGCACCCGGAGAAAACCCACAAGGTTGGACAGGCATCCCTATTCCTTGTCATGTACAACCGGCGATTTGAAACCATGCCAGTTGACTCAATGACAGACCTAATGATACTGCGCCCATGAGCTAACCATTCGGCCATCCAATCCCCCTTAAAAGTAGTAAAAAGATAGTTGTAGATTGCTGAAAATCAGCAGGGTTCATCTTTCAGATTCCAATGTTTCATGCCAAATTGGAAATACAATATTTAATGGGGTTAATCTTCTCAAAGTCCTAAAGTCAAGTCAAACCAAAATCTGTTAAAAACTGTAGCCTTTAGTTACCAAGATTTTCAGAAGGAGGGGAATCTACTTTGACGTAATATTTTCTACTGAGAAGAAAAAAATAAATACAAATCAGTTTTTTGTGCATTACAGAAATAAAATTTGGTTTATAAGACCTTACTTTTCTATACCATCTTGGCTAATGAAGACGGACATATCTCATGCAATGTGATAAGGGTGAAATTTCCACCTCTCTGTCGAATTCCAATTGCCAAGGGTTATTTTACCTGCATGTCAACATGTACACAGGACCTTGCTATTTTGTACAATCCGAACGACTAGAACTTAAAAGCTATTCCTTGCGAGGCACTCTTAGTTTTCCCTACACCATTGGAAAATCCTGGTTAGTGAGCCAGTTTCTTAATCACTGAGCCACAGTAGCTGGCAACAAATTTATGTCAGACAGAAAGAGTCTCTATTATTACTAATTGTAAATCCATGCAATATCATGTAAACTAAACAACAATAAAATCACAAAATTTCGATCTGGTTATCTATGTATTTATCATAACATCTGGTGTAAATACATGTAATGTACATGTACATGTTTAAAGATATGTTCCCTTTGAATACTTTGATATAAATATAATAAATAGTGTCTTCTGTATGACTATCTAAACTTATATTTCAATCTAAAAGTGTGACCCAAGAAAAATCAAATTTCCAGATAAGCCAGAAAAAAAGGGACCCGAGAAAAATCAAATTTCCAGATAAGCCAGAAAAAAGCGAATTGGCTGATAAGCCCAAAAACAACCATTACATAGTGACAACTCAAACCTTGCCATCATTGCATGGCATTTATCACATTTTACACGGTATTGTCACACATATATATAGAAAACATGTTACCTACACAGTTCTCTCGTCTTTATCAAACTAAGAATGACAACCATCATAAGTACACAGAAACCAATATATACATGTACCATGAGGGATAATTAGAAACCACCAATGTATAATTGCTAGTGCTCGCCCATTCATAATCTTGCAAGTGTAATTTACAATGGCAGCTTGTAGACTGGCAAAACAAGTTTCTCTTAAAGAATAGTTTTGCTAACAAATCTATAATAGTGATAGTAATTGGATTGAGTTACAATCAATAGTTAATTCTAACTAAAGGCACAAAAAGCCAGATTGTTTTAAAAATTTCAAAAATAAGTACTATTACTATGTAATTAAAATAAAAGCACATTTGAGTATAAATAGACCTTCATGAAGAATTGGCTGCTTATGACAAAGATAACATAATTACTATTACAATGCAGTGTGTTGTCAGGTTATAAATAGTCAATCTATACTATTCCAAAAAAGTAGGGGATATTTGATTTTTGGGGCATAATACTAAAATATGCAAATGACTATGAAAAAAGTCACTATAGAACCTAACAGAAGAAACATTTCCAGTTACATGTGACGCCCAAACGCACCAATAGCTACCGCATGGAATGCAGGTGATGCTTGGGATCATCATGGGGGTCCAACCCAAGATTTGCACGACTCTGACTTTGAATGTTAGTCATTGTGGCATTGAATTCCAGGGTGGAAACATCAGTTTAATTGTTTTAGTGACCAGAAAACAAATTTTGATATGCGTCGGCTTACCCAAAATGAAAGGTTACGTGCCCTTGGCATGCTACAGATCGGCACAACACAGGCGGTTGTGGCGCGGACGATAAATGTTTCTCAGTCTGTCATAAGCAGGCTATGGTCCAGATACCGTGATACACAATCTGTACAGGACAGACCACGCTCAGGTCGACCAAGGGCGACAACTCAAGCCCAGGATCGATTTATCCGTGCCTTGGCCTTGAGAAATCGTGTCATCACAGCAAATCAGATCAGCGCTCGTCTTCAAACAGACACTGGTGTGAGAGTGAGTGGCCAGACGATTCGGAATCGACTGCATAGGGGTCACCTTCGCGCCCGACGTCCTCGCGTGATCCCTTGTTTGAGAGATCATCACATTCAGGCAAGACGTCGTTGGTGTAGGGATCGTCAACACTGGGATAATCGACGCTGGAGCAATGTGATGTTTTCAGATGAGTCAAGGTTCACTGTTGATTTTTTGGACAGACGTAGGAGGGTGTGGCGTCGTCGAAACGAGCGCTTCCAAGACGTTAACGTCATCAGACATGATCGATTTGGGGGTGGTTCTGTTATGGTGTGGGGAGGCATCACTGTTGCTGGAAGAACGGCTTTACATGTTGTTGCAGGGCGTGTTACAGGCCAGTACTACCGAGACAACATCTTGGCAGTCCATGTTGTGCCGTTCGCACGACGTCATGGCCGCCGTTTCATCTTCCAGGATGACAACGCAAGATGTCACAGGGCCAGGATCGTTACAGGTTACCTCCAACAACAGAACATTACCTTGGCCAGCACTGAGTCCCGACCTCTCCCCCATCGAGCATGTCTGGGACATGCTTGGACAGAGGTTACGTCAACGTCAACAACGTCCTGCCAATGTCCAAGAACTTGCTGCTGCGTTGCAACAGGAATGGGACAATCTGGACCAAAATGACCTTAGACGTCTCATTAGGAGTATGCCACGTCGGATCAATGCTTGTTTGGCAAACAGAGGAGGATTTACCCGTTACTGACTTGGTTGTGATGCTGTGGTAACTTTGCTGTTTGACCCCGGGTATCATTTTACCCTTATAATGGTCAGTCTGTGCCTTACTTAGTCTAACGATCATTTGGAATAAATCGATGAATGTGAACTTCATTTCATTTTGTCATTTGTTTCTTCGTCAGTTTCATTAGGTGACTTTAATAACACTTAAAAATCAAATATCCCCTACTTTTTTTGAATAGTATACATTGAACTTCGAATGAAGGACATTTGATGACATTTTCATGTACTTTAAATTAAAACTTTTACATGGCTAAAATTGCTTATTGTCTTTTCAATGCCATCTCGGTCTCCCACTTCAAAGAAACAATTAGGTCATCTGTTTGATTAACAAAACTTTTATATCTTATTTTTAATGAACAACAGCCTACAATTTCAGACACTAAATGCATATACTAAATAAGCTCTCACAATCACAATGAACAGAACAACTTAAATGTTATTCCATTACTTCCCAAATTGGCAGAAACCGTCTTTCATTCAAATACAAAAATTTCACAGCTTTGAAATATGAATACTCAAACCATTTCTCAAATTTCATATTAGCCATATGAAGCCACATACCAATAAGCTTCCTCAAAATCAAATGAAAACTGTCCACAGCGGTACAATCAGAAAGCTATTTCATCAAATTTAAACAGAAATAACTTGTGGGAGAAGACTGAAGATTTCCAGCTACCAAACAAATTAGTAGCCATTCATATTGATTTACCGTCATATTACTGATTGTCATCATATAGAAATACAAATACAATTTCCATTTAAAGCTTTATATACTTACACCCCATCATTATAGTCTGAGGTACAGAGTGAGAATTCTAATAAAATATGAATGATTTCATCTACATGTATTATGTTGCTACATGACATATAAACTTAAATTTCAAATATTATAACTGTTGTTTATTTTTTCTAACCATTTAAAATGACTACAACAATACTGATTTAAATTTAATTATATTTGAGGATTTGATTGGCTGTTGTTGATCTAATATGTTCTTTTGTTATGTAATGGGACACAATCTAAACAATTCACGCATTCATCTCAACTAAATTAGACTACCACAATGGTTTACTACAGTACATGGCTTAATAGAATATCAAATTAACAAATTACAACATCTTCAAAATTCCTCACTAAAACCAGAGAACATTAACACATTTCCCATGTATTACAATCATGTATTGCAATCCCTACATAGGGTCCCAATTCACCAAAGAATTAAGTTCAAGTTACTCCTCTTTGTCCTCGAAGCGTTAAATGGCCAAGCTCAATCTTATATAAAAATCTTG